TTTAGAAAGTTTTTTCAATAAATATACCCAATTACCCTCATTCTCTTTCCTACTTTTTCATTCTCTTTCCTACTTTTTCATTTAAACACAACCCACTACACCTTTTACACTACCCCTATTATTTTCCTCTTAAAACTTGTGCCAAACCCTATAGAGACAACTATTGGAGAACAGAGGGAGTATGCAGTTGTATGTTGTATGTGGCAGAACATCCTATTACTTGTTTTGCCTTTGAGGTGTCTTCTTCATAATGATAATCTTTCAATTTGTTTGCAGTGGGTTGATTGTGTTTCACAGCTTTTGCGGATGTATCCCTTTGCCTTTGAGTTCTCCTCTGTGCGCCCTTTTTCTTCTAAAATTCTTAGTTAAAATTAAATAAATCTCTTCTGATATGACAGATGCATCCCTATGTTACTTACTGATTCTCAACAATACAGGCATTTCTGGTAGATGTCTTGGATTGCATGCTTTCTTGTCGCTTTGGAAACTTCTTGTGCAATAGGTAAATCTCTTGCAAGTTTATATTGATCTATTTATTATATGCTTTACTCTAGGGAACAAGCATCGAAGCATGTAATAAGTACTTCCACTGTCGAGAGAAAAGAGTTATCTAAAAAAGAAATGTCCTGAAAACAAAGCCTGGTTTTAAAAGTCAATTTTCATTTCTAATGAAATTCCTTTAGAGCGTTGCAACAAGCAGCTTTTGATGAAGTCGGGACGGTGTCTTAGAGTTGCTAGCAATAAACCTAAACAGAAGGATTTTGGGGTCCATCTAGAACATAACTCTATGTTTAGTTAAATTAACAGAACACAAATTATTCCTATCCTTCCCTCTCTACCAAAGACACCCTAAAGCCTAAAAGCTATCAACCTGTTATTGGAATCCCCTCATGAACCGTTGTACATCAGTCTCCTCTATCTAGAAGAACTCGATCCTGAATTCTCTTCTGGATAACGAGTCTCGACTTCAAAAAAGTGATGCTGATCAGTAACATTTAATGTGTTAGAAATGACAATTGAATCTGGAAGTGCGACATCAGCTGATCGCATCTTCCTCGCTTTAAAAGGACCTTACTTTCAGGCATTAGCTTGGTTTAGGTACAATTGTACAAACAGGAAACCTTTCCTTTCTCAAGATTGCCTTGACATCATATCACCCTCTTCGATATTCAGGCTTTAGTTGCACTTTGTACTTCACAGTATTTTTTGTAGATTCTGCCAATCTGCCCTAACATCTATCGAACAGCCTGCACATCTGTAGCCATGCTCTCAGCAGCAACACTAGCACTAGGAACCTTCGGAAGCTTCACCAAATCAACTGTCAATGAACTGCTTGCGTTTGAGGCACCTCCATAATATCAAAGAATCTCCATCTCATGCTGCCAGTTCATATAATCTTACTCACCAAGTTGCCCGAAAGTGACGATTCTTAATTTGTAAAACTTTGAACCTTGTTTAAGTTGACTAAACAGAAATACTTCTTCATTCCTCAAGCCATACCGTGATCATTTTTTTGGACGGATAGAGTATATCATCATTGTTATGCTCTGTGCCGGTGTGCCAATTTATTTGTCTTTCATAGAGATGCTCATTTGTTATTTCCCTTTTTCTCATCAAATAATTTGGCACCATGTCCATATCTTCGGCGGAATTAATCACCATTCAACATCTAGAAGGCACACTATGCTTGTAGGATTAGACTAAAAGGTTATGTTCCATTGGAGTGACACGCTCAAAGTAGAAGATAGTCCCTATTTGGAGAAGGTACATGCAAAATGTTTTCGTCGTTCCTCATAATGCATTTCAGTGTTTTTCCTTTTTAAAATGAATTCAGTGAGAAAGAAAGGCAGCAAGCCGGTATTTCTGATGCATGTGGATGCTTATGGACGTATTTGGCTGATTTACGGTCATCAGAAAAAAGTTCACACGTACATTACAACATCTTTTATGATCCGTTAAAGCAGGGAGGGCCACTGCTACCTCCAGCTGCAGCTTTAGCTCCCACACTTTGGCCTCAATTCCATCTTCGGTGGGCTTGTCCTTCAGAGGCTCAAGGCGGTGATGTGGAATCACAGTGCCGCAACATCACTAAGAAATTCTCTGATTTGGAGAAGGTAAACTCTACATTTGGTGACTGCGTGTGGAGTAATAATGTTGAAAAGCAAATTCTTCGCTATTATATTAAGTAGACTTTTGGGAATCCTTTCAGGGAGATTTTTTACAAACACCAACCCATTTCACTGCATTGCCTGAATAATCAACTATAATAAAATTAAAGTGTAGAAGTTAATTTTTCAGGAGATATGAGTGAAAAGAAAAGAAAATCACACTTTTTCCCGGGAAGGAAATGATACTTGTTTCCTGGGAGGAAATAGTACTTTCTCTGAGAAGGAAATGGCTCATATCCTCATATAAAATTATTTGTTTAATTTATTAATAAAAACACCTGTTCCTAAATGTTTTTCTTTTTTACTCATATATTAAGAAACTGAATTTGTGTAGGTGATATTATTTGAGAAAGATTAAAAGTGATATCAGTCACATATTTATTTCCTTAAACTGAAATAATAACTTTATAAGACAACTAAAATAGGAAAGTGGGAAGAACATGCTGGGACGGGGGAGGGAGATATTTTAAATATATATGATATATCATACTACTTCAGTCATTTCGGCCAACAATGTCCCTAAATGCGTTCCACTCAATACCTTCATTCATATCAACCAAATTTTACAATCAACAAACAGGCTCTTAAGTTCCCTTCCGCAGGGACTCAGAGTGTCAGAGACTGGGTATTCCACTAGACTCATTTTCGATTGTTATTGTTGTAAAAGTTCTCACATTTCACAGGCAAAAGAAGCTGCAGAAGCCAGAGTTAAAGAAATGGCAGCAAACACAAGACACCTGACAGCTGAGTTGCAAAGTGAGAAACGTGTCAGTACATCAGCCGTAGATTCAGCAAAGAGAGCCAACAGAGAGTGTGTTTCCATAAAGCGGGCAGTCCAATCATTAGGGTGTAAAATTCACATCTCAGCAGATGGTGACTGTAGTGTTGATATAGACAGCAACCCAACACAAATTCCTCAAAACTCTCTTTCATCTCACTCGAGAAACGAAAAGGGCGGTGAGATCAACCCGGACCATTCATTGTCGTTCTCCGTCACGCATGATGATCCACCCGATAACCGGTTTGGCCGGGTATGTGAATCTTTGTGTCCAATGCGCACAAGGGAAGGGGGGTGTAGGTGGCCCAGTGCCGGCTGCACTCAATTTGGGAGCCAATTTGTTGGACTGAAAGCTAATTTTGAGGCGTTTGATCGGCTTTCTGTATTCGATAGTTATTTCGAATCGTAATGGAAGACAGGGCTGTAAATAGTAAATTGGTCTGAGTTTTTGTCATCTATGGAAGTCAAGAGGTCAACGAGAAGATGGATGCTCACAAGTAATAATGCATGGCAAATAATGGCATTTTAGATAGTTGCCGTTAATGCTTCGGCAATACACAATTTTATTGCGAGGGTACTAGTTCTAGGTTACACATTCTTCATACAATTATTGTGTAGGTACGTACGACACCATTTTGTTCAAGTAGTTGATATCCTAATAAAGCGAGGTAAGAGTCAATTGAGTACATCAACTTGTATGAGATAGAGTAAAGAGTACACTATATTGCATTAGATCTTTTTAAGTATACAAATTCGAATTTTTAGTGTTAATTGAGTACACCTGTTAGATTGACACGTTAATACGACTGAGTTGGCTAATAGAATGCTAATATGTCGACTTTTTGAAGGTCGACACTAGCCCCAAGTCACTTGATCGACTTCCCCTTGGTCGACGACAGTCTCCCACAGGTTGACTTCTCCTTGGTCGATGCACCCCTGCTGGTCGACGCCCCCCGCAGGTCGACATTCGAAGGTCGATTTTCCCTTTCTTTTGACTTCTTGAAGGTCGACACTATAACTTTGGTCCATTACCCCTTGGTACTCTACATTCTGTCAGCCAACTCAGTTGTATTAACATGTTAATCAAACAAATGTACTCAATTAACACTAAAATCCTGAATTTGTGTACTTAAAAAGATCAAATGCAATATAGTGTACCCTTTACTCCATCCTTGTACAAGTTGGTGTACTCAATTGATCCTTTCCTCCTAATAAAGCTGATTCTCTTCTGCGTGTATGGACTTCGGTTGTAGTTTTTAGAGTTAATATTTCCTGATATTCTGGTTCAATTTATTTTTCTTATTAATAATGTTCTGGCTTACATAGCTGGAGGACTCTAGCTCCCTCTCCGTTAACACAGGAATCATTATCGAAAGTACAAATAGATCCGAAATTGAACCGGGATTGGTCTGGTAAAAACGGATCAGTTGACCTTCTAATCGAAACAAAAAATAGCGGTCTAATTTTTGATTGGGTAGAACCCTAGAACTGGTGACTCAAAATATGACTGACTTTGTCACTTGAAAAAATTCAGTGTCGGCTGATATGGTGGATCAGCTGGTCATATTTTGAAGAACCAGAAGAAGCAGATTAGACTATAACCAGCCATGTCCGAACTCCAACATCAGTTACTAGTTTAACACCAGTTGCCCTTTGACGGTTACTGGTTTGAAAATCAGCCATGTCCGACATAACCGATAATCCAGTCTTGGGTTGGGAGTCCATGCCCCTGGTTCGGATTCTCCTTTACAATCAGAACCTGTGCAGTTTTACCAAGGACTGTCCTACTCATGATTCATGAATGAAATTATGGTTCAATTTCAGCCAAGATCAAGGGGTGTTTGGAACTGATTCTGATTCTGCTTATTTTTTAAAGCAGAAGTAGAATCAGAATCAGTTTTAAGAAGCTGGTCACCCCCAGCTTCTAAAAAAAACTGATTATAGGAGTAAATTAAAGCACCAGAATCACTTCTGCACCTTTACCCAAACACCCCCAAAATTGGACCTAATCAGCCCCCCTTTAACCAATGGCATTCCCCTAACCCCTTGCGAGCTTAAGCGAATAAACGAACAACTCTTGACCCATGAAACTGATGCTATAGATCCATTGTGAATGTTAAAAGTCTTTTACAATATGGAAACTCGTATTATAAAAGCTATCATGTAGAAAAAACTAATGGAGTGAGTAATCAATCACTCCATAGAAGGTGGGGGTATGTTTTCATTGGATGGCCTCTTCTTCAACTTCCTTTCATTCCATCTACTCCATGCCCATTTCAGAACAAAGAACCCACCAATAGCATAAACCTGAAATTCACACACTTTCACTATATTACAGGATACTCAGAGCCCGTTTGGTTAGCATGACTTTTCACCCAACAAGTAATTTTTATGTCTAATAAGAAAAAGTAAGGTTGAAACTACTTTTCTAGCTGTATTGGTTGAAGTTCGTAGAGAACCATTTTAGCTATTTTTCCATATAAAAGTAGCCCCACCAAAATTGGTCATAAATAAAGTATAAAACTTGTGATTGAGATTTAGACTTACGGAAAATAACTATATTTATTATAAATTTAAATGGAAATTTAAAAGTTACTCCGTAATATTTTGAGTCAGTTAAAAGTTGTAAGATTTTGTGCAAAAAAAAACAGACTTTGAGATCATTTGACTGCAGGAAAGAAGTTGCAGGGATAAAGGGATTGTTTTGCGCTGAAACATTTTCCCATATAAGTTGCGAGACCGATGGAAATTGAAAACAAAGGGAGCCAAGTATATGTTCCACAGTACAAGAGAAGCAATTTCATTAACTACTTCATCCTATTCCGTGTGTAATAAATAAAAGAAACAATGATAAAAAAACAATTTTTTTAATAAAAGAAACAATGATATCCCTAAATTGAAATGGAAACCTGAAATGGAATTTCATTTAAATAATATTTACAGTACCTGCCATAGGACGACGGGGTTAGTATCGGTCTCAGATTCTTGGGATTCGAGTTTCAAGGAGGGGAATTCCGCCCTGGGAAACTTCACCACAGAAGGTTTCTCTTCTTCCTTTGCAAGTTCTTGTTCTGGATTAATGGGCTGAGTTTCGTCAGGAGCGGCGGGCTTCGGCGAGGGCGGTTTAAAGAGCTGAAGCAAGGCCGAGAGGACGGAGAGCAGAGGGTTGATAGGCTTATTTTTCTGTTCTTCTTCAGCAAGTGTTGAGCCACCGATTATGACCGAGGAAGGGGCAGGCTCCGCCATTGTAATTCGGGCGGTGATTCAAATTCTTGTTTTAGGCGTGACGAGGATATCGACGATGGTGTGCTCACACGAGCAGTGCGAGAGTTGAGATATGAAGAGGTGAAATTTAGGCGTTTCTCGAAAAATTAGAGTAAAATTCATACACTGTTTGACACTGTTTGGATATTGTTTGTCACTGTTTGGACACTGTTTGGCACTGTTTTGTTTCCTACAATGGAAGTGTGAACTTAAATAAGGGACATCCCAAAAAGGAAAGTGAGAACTTTAATAGGAACCGGAGGAAGTAGGTGTTTATGACCGGAACCTTGTACGTAAATGATCAATATTAATATGTCAAAAAATTGTCCATTTAAAGACGCATCGAAGGAGAAGATTGTTGGACATTAAAGACTATAACGGTTCATGTGCGTGATCAGAACAGAACTGCCTTGAGTGCGTGGCCAGTTAAGAACTATTTTTAAGGGATAATAACTATTAGCTCCCTGAAGTTACGTCGAAATTACTAATTCAACATTACATTTTTTAAAATCAATTATTTACCCCTCAAGTTTGGGTTATTCACAATATTTACCCCTCCAGTCAATATCAACCAAATTTAACTTCATATATTGTTTAAATTTGAAGAAAATTTTCTAAAATAGATGCTTTTTAAAGTCAACATAGTTCAAATTTAACTTCACATATTGTTTAAATTTTAGATCTTAGATTTATAGTTCAATCATTCGGGTCTTATATCTACATATTATATCTTTCGGCCTCTTATTAATGGTGGACCCTATCATTTAGGTAATGGATCGATAAATTTTCTTTTTTCTTGATATTTCTTCTTTGCTATGCACGAAAGATATATCTGATCCCATGAATATTACTCTTGAGTTTTCTCCCTTAAACTACTCCCATTCATATTTGTTCCATGAGTAGCTAAGTAAAAAAATTACAATAAATTTTGTAATTTTCAAACTAAATTTTGTGGACAAATATTAGATTTATATTAAATTTGAGATTTATATTAAATTTAATTTAACAAATATTAATGTGAAGGGTCAAATAGTGAGAATGATAGAAACTTAGGGGGTAACTGATTGATATTTAAAAATGCAAGGTTTCATTTACAATTATGGCATAACCTCAAGAGGTTAAAAGTTTCTTGACAAATTTAGGTGTTTTGGTTCTTTTGAATGTATTATTGTAAAGGTCTAAAAAAATTAGGTGTGTTTAATATAAGATTTTAAAAAATATTACGTGTATCCAATGTATACCTAAATGTCTAAAATATTTATGAACTTATCTCATATTTGCGTGAATTTTTAATTCATTTTAGTATAATACTTCGTAATTTTTTACAATTGTCTCTTCTTTTCACTAAATATTTTTGTGAACTTTTTCTTCTGTCTTTTACTCGTCACAAGCATGGACCCGGTTCCAGAATCAAATTAGATTTAAGTTGTTATTTACTCGGGCTAACAAACCGGCTAACTGGTTGTGGAGTTGTACCAGATCGAAAGGTGGGTACCATGATGATTTTGATATGCAAGGTTTGAAAATTAAATTCTAATCTTTATCATTTATGATAAATAAAATTGACAAGGAGATTCTACATCGATATTGATACACAAGATAAACTTAAAGTAATTTAAAAGTGATTTTTTATACATATAATCTTATGAAGAAAAATGTAGGGATGAGACCGATTCGATTTTTGAAAGAAAATTAAGAACCATTTGAAGAACTGTTACTTCAATATTATTTTGGTTCTAGATTTTCTTGAAGAGTCTATATAAGAATCGATAATATCATATTGATCCGATTCTTGTATATTGTCGATCAGTTAACCATTAAGATATAAAAGTATGTTTCATCGTTAAACAACTAACACATAAAAATACAATAACAAATTAATAAATATTTAACTGTAAGTAGGCAAACAAGTTTCAACAAGCTAAAGAAAACAATTATTAAGAAAAAGCGCTCGATTGCATTAAAGAGATCTTATTTGTTGATCATTCTCCCAATTTTGAGTTTTTAAATTAATAAAAATAAATTTGGATAATTATGTCTCATCTATCATTGTTGAACTCAACACTCTAGATGATTTACATTTTTGTCATTTATTTGTTTAATTATTTTTTAGGTAAAAATAATTTAAATACCCTAAACTTTGAAGAGGTGTGAGGTGAACATCCCAAACTTGCATATGTAATAGAAATATCCCGAACTTTATATAAAAAGTTTATGTTAGCATCCACGATCATATGATTTTCTTTGTCAAATGTAATTTATGGTCTTAAGTACACAATTTAAATTATTTAGCATTTGTGAGGATACAATTAACATATATAGATTAATAAATTATTAGTTATTCCATAAATAGAAGCTAAGAGCTTGAGTGTTAATTGCATTCTCATAAGTCATCGCGTCTAGGAGCTCCACCTAGACATCACGGGATCTTCCACCTCTTCAGTGGGCTCTTGCTCTTTCAATGACTTGAAGGTAACCTCTCAATTTCAGAAATTAATTTGTGTTAGAGAAATTGCATAAACCCCTTGTTTCAAAAGCTTCCATCAACGATAAATCCCTTGCATAAAGCCCTTGTTTCAGAAATTTCAGAAGCTTAAAAAAGGCTTTAGTTAGCCCTCCATTTGTGCTTTAAAGGAATTTCGAAGATAATAAATAAAACCTAAGGGTAATTTGTTAAAACAATTGCTTCGTAATATTGATGTTCAGCTATGAATGAATGATAATACTAATTTCGTTTATCATCCGTTAATGTTCTAAAATTATCTCAGAAGAAGTATAACAGGTATGCCCTGTGTTCTGGAATGCTCCTTAATCAATTCGATTTGGGTAAACTTATAATATTAGTAAGAAAAACAAATGTTGTTCATCGTGTCTGATTCGATCTATATGGTAGTTGCATCGATATTTATGATAAATTTAGGATATTTTGTTTTTAAAAAAAATGCAGATAGATTTGTTCATTTAACTAATCATAATTGTTTGGGACAGCCATTAATGGACAGCCCCTGTTGTTGTTTACTATGTTTGTGAGTCGTATATGCTTGTTAGGATCAGAGACCAGCATTTCCTACTCGTATATGACTGATATTTAAGTTACCAACTAAAAGCTCATAATCAAATACTAATGATAAGTGAATAATAGGCCATGCCATTTTAATGGACAGTCTAAACATCTATTACAGTTATACGCACATGTATCACCAGATAATTTCATTATGCAAATATAAACTTTGTACACTAACATCAATCAAATATGATGTGGTGAACTTATGTTGTTAGCACATTACAATTTTGCTACAATTTTGTGGTAGATGAGTTTAACTCAAGAAGAAAAGGATGATGCCATATGGCCAGATGAAAAAGAGACTTTATTTTTTACTGTGCTATATGAAAGGGTTAAAAAGGACCCAACTGGGAATCCAACATTTAAGGGTCGAGATTGGAATGATATGGATAATGAAATGTTGGTTCGAGGTCGTTATCAATATGGTAGTGACAGGCTACGGGGAAAGTACAATAGGTTGTAGCTCATACATAGGCAATTTGGCCAGTTATTGGGTCATACAGGAGTTACATATGATTCTAGTCGGAATGTTGTTTATCCCACAGAGGAATGTTGGCAGAAATTTTACAAGATACATGTTTTATTTAATGATTTAATTTTTTAAATCATATTTTAATAAGCTTTTTAATTGACATATGTGTACTTTAAATATGCAGATGAACAAGGGCTTTAAGACATTTAAAAGGAATGGTTGCAAGAACTATCCATAATGAATCTTGTTTTTGGAAAAGGGAGTGCAAGTGGAGGACTTGCTACTCCTTCAACCCAAGTATTAATTGACGTTGAAAGAATTCCATGTCGAACGTCTATACTGAAAGGTAACGCTTATATCGATGAATTAATGACAGGTCATCCGTTAAGATGCTATGAGAGTTTTAGGATGAACCCACATGTATTCCTACGTTTATGTGAAAGGCTTAAGAATTTGGATGTTCTACACGATTCAAGATATTTAAGGGCTGAAGAACAATTAGGAATAGGTCTTTTAGTGTTATGCCAAAAGGCGGGCCAACGTACATGTGCAGAGCGTTTCCAGCATTCAATGCGAACTATTCACTTATGTGTGAAACGTGTGGTGAGAGAACTTGCATGATTGGGCAACGAAGTTATAAGGCTAATTAACAGGGGGGCCGTTTAACCAAAAATTTTAGAAAAACCGAAATGATATCCTTATTTTGAGGTATGTGTAAGCGTAATTACGTTTTTCAATTCTTTGGTTAACTCATACTATTAATGGTGTACAAATTTTGCAGAAATGTGTAGGGGCCATTGATTGTACTCATGTAGCAGCCTCAACACCCGCTTCCAAACAAAAGACATTTCGCGGTAGACATTCAGCGGTGACTCAAAATGTCATGGCGGCTTGTAGTCATGACATGTTGTTTACGTATGTATATGCGGGTTAGGAGGGAACGTGCAATGACTCTCGAGTATTTTTAGATGAAATTACAAGAAGTGAAAATGGGTTGCCCATGCCTCCTATCGGTAATACAATAAATATGCATTTTGTATTAATCATGTCAGTATTTTTGCAAAAGTAGGTTCCCAATGCAATTGTTATTGACTTCAATGTAGGTTATTACTATGTTGTTGATGCCGGCTATCCAAATGTTCCGGGTTTTTTAGCCCCATACCGTGGAGAGAGTTATTACTTAAATGATTTTCGAGGCCGAGGACGAATACGCAATAAGCAAGCTTTATTTAACTACCGACACTCGTCCTTGCGTAATGTGATCGAGAGGTGTTTTGGAGTACTAAAGGAAATATTTCCCATTCTAGACATACCACGTGGTTACCCATTGAGAAGACAAGTTCAAATTCCCATAGCTTGTTGTGCATTGCATAATTTCATTCGCATGCAAGATAAGCACGACTGTTTGTTCATGGAGTACGAGGAAGAGGATATGATATTTGGCACGACGGCAAGTACAAGTGAAAATGAATCCCTCGAATTTAATGTCTCGACAACAACAAATGCATGAAATTCGAGAAAGTATTGCGAATGCAATATGGGATGATTACAATGTATGAGATGTTGAAGTACGATTGCTATTCTGATTAACATAATCTCAGTACTTATTGAACTTTCAGTATTGAGGAACATTTATGTTATTTTTTTTATTTCAAATGTTTGTAATTGTGCATTTCTTTTCCAAATATTCAGTCAATGTTTCTTGATAAAAATGAAATGGAAATTTGAAAAACTCTGGTAAACATGTTTTCTGATTTGGAAAACAAAAAACTGGAAAATGAAAACAGAAAACTGGAGACTTGAAAACAGAAAATGAAAATAGAAAACTGCCTCTGTTAGTAAACAGGCCCTAAGAATCTCGTGAGCGGCACTTGAGATGCGCAGGAGAACGTGAAACACCTAGGGTTTGTGTATTATATAAAACAACATAATTGAAATGTGGAATCCTATTTAGAGAATTAAAACATTTAGTTCTCTTAAAGGCTTAAAGCACATTGATTGAGTTTTAGTCATATTTACACAGGAATTACTGTAAACAATATACTACATCAGTTTTACTAACATTGGACATGAGAAACTCATGTGATTATTAAAAAAAATGACCTTATTTGGTTGATATTAAATTAACAAAATTAATAAAAAAAATAAAATAAGAATGACTAAAATCACACAAATTTTATCAAATTTAGTACTCCCTCCGTCTCCCTAATATTGGGACGGAGGGAAGTGATGTGATTTTTAAGAAAAATAGAAGTATGAGATTGATAATGAGCAGATAAAATGAGAATAAAATAAGAATGAATTAGAGCCACACAAATGTTACCAAATATGGTATGAGACAATAACAGGGGACATATAAAAATGAAAAAATGGAACAATTATAGAGGGATGGAGGAAAATATATTAAAATTCCTATAATCTATCAAAATGTCTTTCCCACTCCAAATTGGGTACACACTCCATTGCCAACTCGTCTCATTCCATGCATATCATTTAGATGTAGCACAATTATTAATAAAGTAATTGAAAATTAAAAGTTGTAATTGAAGTGTCAAATAGAACAAGTGAAATCATATTGATCTTATAAAAAAGTATTTGAAGGAAGAATTAATGATTAATATATGACCGAAATAAAGGTATTAAACAAAAATATGTTTTATACTCCCTCCGTCCCGGTCATTTCTTCTGGTTTTGACCGGTATCGCAAATTTCTGCAAATTTATAAAGGGGTTGACTTTCTCCTTATACCCTTGGCCGAATGGGGTAAATAAATCGGTAAAAGTTGAGGTAAAAACTTTAATAAAGTGGAAAAATGATTAAAAGTAGATTGACTCACATGTGAATAGTAAAGACTATTCACATTTGGCTAAAAGTTGCATACATAGAGGCGCCAATCCAAAAAAGGAGGGAGATTACTTTTTGGTTCCTTACATATACTACTCCCTCCTAATTCCCTACACACACACACACACACACACACACTTCCATCACACACTCCACACACACGCACACTTACAGACACTGCACACACACGCACACTGAAAACAAAAAAGGCAGCTTCCATGGTTGCAATATCTTCCACAACTGCAGCTTCTTCTTCATTTTCTCCAGCTTCTTCCACACAAGGACCCCTAGATCTGCAAATAGTAACAACTCATGGTCATGGTGCTGCAGTGGGGAAAAAAGGCTTTCAAACAGTGAAAAAGAGAGCATAACACATGTACTCTTAATGTTCAGTAGGAGGGATTCTTTGGGGTACTTGAAAGCTCAGAAAGGTATTTTTGTCATACTTGCTGAAGAGTATGAAGTGTCCACAAGAACTATTTCTGGCATTTGGGACACAATTAAAAAGCAAGTTGTACAAGGTGATGCAGTAAATGTGTGTAGGAAGTACCATGGCAGAAAAAGGATAGAATTTGATCTATTTCAGGTATCACATATCCCACTGCATAAACGGACTACCATAAGGTCCTTAGCAACTGCCGCCTCAATATCAAAATCAAGTGTCCACAGATTAGTTCAAAGTGGTAAGATCAGAAGGCATACAAATGCAATAAAGCCATTTCTAAGTGATGCAAATAAATTACAAAGATTGAAGTTTTGTCTTAGTCAAATAGCGAAGTCAGTGCCACATAAGCCTACCTTTCAAACATTTCAGAATGTGATTCACATTGATGAAAACTGTTTTTTCATGACAAAAACATCTCAAAAATTATACATGGGGTTGGAAGAGGCTGATCCACACAGAGTATGCAAATCAAAGAGGTTCATAACTAAGGTAATGTCCCTAGGTGCAATGGAAAGGCCCCTTTTTCAGAAAGTGGTGAGGTCATTTAGGATGGAAAAATAGGCATGTTTCCATTTGTTGAACAGGTTGCATCAAAAAGAAAAAGCAAAAACAGAAATGCAGGTGTTATGAAAACCAAGCCTATTCTTAGCATAACAAAGAAAGTGTTCGAGGACATGTTAATCAACACAGTCCTCCCAACAATCAAGGAAAAATGGCCTCCACAGTTAAGCAAAGAAATCATAATACAACAGGACAATGCAAGGCCACACGTTTCACATGATGATGCAGAGTATATGAGTGCTTCCATGGCTGATGGGTTTACAATCACCCTTACTAACCAGCCCCCCAATTCTCCAGACCTTAACATCCTAGACCTAAGTTTTTTTTTAGGGCAATACAATCTTTGAAAGACCGGAATGCACCCAAGATAGTGGATGAACTGTTACATGCAGTGGATGATGCTTTCAAACAACTATCACCTATGACTCTAAACAAAGTATGGCTAAGCTATCAGTATGTTATGATTGAAGTTCTGAAAGTGCAGACAGACAACAATTACAAGCTACCACACAATGCAATGGATAGGATGCAGTCAGAAAGGATACTTCCAAAAACAATTGAGGTAGATGTTCAATTATTGGAAGCAACAGAACAGATTCTAGGGCAACAAACAAGGGATACTGAAAGTCAGTGGAACTTCATAATTGAAGAAGATGATGATGATCATCATCTTTAGTGATGAAGTACATGCTCAGACATAATAGGCCTTAAATTTTTTGTTTTTTGTACATGCCTTAATTTTGAAGGACAGTCAGACATTTAGAATTAGTACTAACATGCTCAGACATTTTGTAATACATGCTGCATACTCAAACCTTTTGTAGAAGTACAAGCATAGTCAGACATTTTGTAATAGTAGAAGCATAGTGATCTAGCAATGGTCATAATGATTTCATCATTTTGGGACAAGAACAACATACTTAGACCTTATGAATAACTACAACATCAGCATACACACCACACACAAGTACTGATCATCATATGGTACTGAATAAAGTACCATATCACATGGATCATGGTAATCATAGTATGCATAAAGTACCACATCACAGGATCATGGTCATCACAGTATGTTTAAACTACCAAAATACTTTCATATGCTCATCATAGTATGCATAAAATACCACATCAGAGGGTCATGGTCATCACAATATGCATTAACTACCCAAACACTATCATATGGTTATCATAGCATGCATATAGTACCATATCACAGCCTAATGCTTTCATCATAACATACCACACAGAATGAACCAATACCAAAATCACAGTGTGCAGTAAAGAACCAGTACACACAAGATCTACTTTCATCACAAAATGCATAAAGAACCGGTACACACAAGGTCTACTTTCATCACAGTATGCCTAACTACCATTTATAATACCAAACCATCATGTACGACCCACATGCATCACAATAAACATCAATAAAACAATTTTTCATCATTGCTTCCCCCAAAATTCACAATGGACATAGAGTACGAATTAAACCATAAACGAAGATAAGGTATAGAAGAAACTCCCCAAATCTATGTCCACGTCCCACATCCTTGTTTCCCATTTTGGCAAAATTATTTTTAGGAACTCCTCCAGCAGGGGACTTCTCCGAATAGGATGCATGTCAATGTCTATGCGTCTTTTAAGTCGATTTGGGTCCATCGTCTCCCCCATGACCTCTGCAGGCTTCTCGCTTACATCCTCGGGAAGCTCTTCTTCACTGTCTAGTATGATGAGGAGGGCATCCTCTTCCGGGGAGTTCAGAGCCATGCACCTCGGATGGAGTACCAATACAGGGTCATCTGTGTCCAACGCCACCGCTTCCTCCGGAAGAACACCCTCTTCACTGTCAGGGACGATGAACTGTTCAATATTCTCCATACTCAAAGTATTAGGGTTTAGATCCATAAAAATGTGTGAGAGAGAGGGAGGCGGAAGGGTAGATAGATTTACAGAGGGGGAGATGGAGGAAGTAAATGTGAGAGACGGTTGGAGTATTTGAGAGAGACGGATGCAGTGACAGAGAAAGAGGAGGCGGTGGGAGTAAATGGGAGAGAGGGATGCGGGTGGGAGTAAATGAGAAAGAGAGAGGGATGCGGACGGGTAAAATGGAAGGAGAATGGGAAAAGGTTTTTTTTATTGGGGAGGGTAAAATAGGGTTTTAGTATGAGTCGATTTCCTTTTTAGAAAAGTTGGAAGAATTAATTGGGACGACCCAAAAAGGAAAATTGGAAGAAATGACCGGGAAAAAGGGAATATATTTTAGTGGTGATGACTGTATTCAAACTCTATACTACAATGATTATGTATAATGTGTGCAATAGTATTTTTGTTTATGAATTATACTATAGTACGCTTAATATTTAAGGAAGTCATTGAAAGAATCCAAAAAGAAAGTAAAGCACCTACATTAGTCAAGAAAACAACTTTATTGGATGCATTAAAATTAATTTTTCATTATCAAAAAGCTAGTGGACAAGAAGCGCTTGTGGCCTAATGGATAAGGCGTCTGACTTCTAATCAGACGATTGTGGGTTCGAGTCCCACCAGGCGTGACCTGTTATCACTCATCAAGATTGATGATTACGACATCCTTGAACCATTTTTTTCCGATATTCCTGCTCAACCTCCAATACAATTCTCAAATCATCTTTTTTCTTTTCAAATTGAATTACGAAAGAGATTTGATTTGAGTGAGAAAGGGCCGGAAATGAGCGGAGAGGAAACACTGGTGGAAGCGGCACTCCGAGTATTGAACACAGCTGATCCGGTGGAGAAGGCCCGGATCGGAGATGACGTTGCCAACAGATGGCTCCAGGGCCTCATTTCCCGGCCATATGACTCCTCCTTAGACCTCCCAGTACCTCACCGCCCTGCAAGGCTCACTGATGTAAGTAAGTTAGGCTTCTTGCCTTTACTTATCTTTCACCTGTTCGACGAAATTCGCCACTGAACAAGGTTGTATTATTATTCCCATCCTGTTGCGATCTTAGAGCCTTACACATTTTTTTATATCAGTTAGATTTTAATCTGTAGGTGAAGCTAGTGTCACCAAGTATGATGCCGAAGCTTGGGAAAGCTGGAAGCTTGCAGAGTAGACAAGCCATTGTACACAGTCTTGTTCACATTGAAAGCTGGGCAATCGACTTGTCTTGGGTATATCTCTTTTTTTTCGTGATTTCTTCAGAGTTATGGTGTGCCTAATCTCTGGGTTAGTTGAAGAATTGATAAGATTGTGTGTATGCAAATTGCTAACTTATTACACATCTCCATTGTCTTTGTAAGCAGTGAAGAAGCCAGATATTTCTGTTACTGGGGATAAAAAATTCACACCATCAACCACCATCAAACATAAAAACAAAGTTCAAAACATATACGGAGTAATATTCAACTTCTCCAGAGGTATACCATATACGCCAAATTAACAAAAAAATAATAAAAATAAAATATCTATCTCCATGATTTTAATAGAAATACTGTTGAAACAATAAAAACATTCACATTAATAAAATATGATTCTTTTTATGTCATGTAAAAGATGCTTTATTTATGATCTACGTAGTATTGATTATTGGTAGATGAGAGCCTGAGAGGGGGAGCAAAAGTGTAACTTATTTGGATAATACATACGCACTATGTTTTTTTTAAAGTAGGGGGGGGGGGTGTAGGCGACTATCCCCCTAGCTCCATCCCTGTTTTTAAGTGTTTGTGGTCATCACTAGCAGTATAACAAGTAACAACGCTATGAGGGACAAAGGCTCACTTTTTGTTGATAATCAAAAGATGCTGTCAACTATGACGATCATCCAAATTAAGATTCTGCCAGTGAAGACCATCATCTATTTTTTTTTAATTGGTCTTAACTCACCCTTAATGGATCCTCAAAGGTTAAGTTTATCTCACATTTATATACTACCTCCTTCACCCTAAGATTGATTCAAGAGGGAGTGGTGCAATTATTAAGAAAAAGATATTATTGGTATTTAATTGGTAAAATGAAGTGAGAAAGATAAAATGAGACAAAGTAAAAGAGACAAGGGGAGTATTAGATAAAGACCTAGGCAAGTATTCAATGGAGACACTTGACACGCCTCTTAGCCAACCGGTCTTAGCAACTTCATGGGTTGAACAACCGGTCAAATTGATCTCAAATGCGCTACTCCAGACCATGAGTGCCAAGCAAACGAATAAATCTAAAATAGATCGCACTCTGATAATATATTAAATTGGGCCTATTCACCTAAAAAAGTTCAGGTTACCTCACACTTGCATAATCTAGATAAGATGAAAATCCTACATTTAACTTGTTTTGGGATTAAGGCTTGGATGTTGTTGTTGTTGTTTATGAATCTGAGTAACTCTCATAAATTTCTCTTATTTCTTGTTTTGTGATACATCCATTCTTTTTTAGGACATAATTGCTCGTTTTGGTAAGCAAGAATCAATGCCGAGAGATTTTTTCACAGATTTTGTTAAGGTGGCACAAGATGAAGGCAGGCATTTTTCCATGCTTGCTGCACGGCTCAAGGAGCTGGGCTCCTTTTATGGAGCATTGCCGGCCCATGATGGCCTCTGGGATTCAGCCATGGCTACCTCCAAGGATTTGTTGGCAAGATTGGCAATTGAGCATTGTGTTCACGAGGTTTCACTCTCCCCATGCCTTGGATCGTCTTTTCTTTACCCTAGGAAGTCTAATTTTTCGTCAAGAAAAAAAGAGCTGGATTCCCTCATACACAGCCAAAAAAGTTCTACAAAACATAACATTCTTCCTCAATTTGAAATTTCATTGTTTTGTCTTGAAAAAATACCACATTCACTTCTAGAAGGAAAAGTTTGAACTGTTTTTGTTCTTTTATTGGGATTGAATGAGTCATATTCTTAAAATAAAACAAAAACACCTCTATTTGTGAGCATGACCCATAATTTGATATTAATTCTAGCAACTTAAGAAAAATTCACTTTCCCTAGAAAGTGACATTTGAAAACCAATGAATCTGTTTTAAGGGATGGGAGGCAAGATTTGGATTCTTGGGAATTGTTTCACTGGAAGCACCAACTTAGGGTCTGTTGTGAACGTGGGATGAATTAGGGAAAGAAAATAGAGGAGTAATTTGGAAGGAAAATAATTTAAGGAAAGTTTAAAGATTGCTTTAAACTTTACCTTGTATTTTCTCAAGATTGCTTTAAAGATTCCTTCAGATATTTGTTTAAATGTGTGGCCCTTGTTAGAGTGGATTTCAGCCCATTGGGCTTATTGTAACCCAAAGATGTAATAACCGGTGTAGTGTATATATACTCCTGCCATTGATCAATAAAGTGTAGAGCCTTTACAATCTGTCATTTTAAATCTTACTCTCTTTCCTCTAACTGACTTAACGAACTGAGCTAATAGTGGTATCAGAGCTCCGGCGATCTGTGAGGGAACATGACTACCGGTAGTGGAGGCAATCTGATCGGAAATCTACCAATTCTTGATTCCAAGGATCTTGATGGCTACGACAGGTGGAGCATCAAGATGAAGACTATTTTTGGTTTCCAAGAAGTCTTGGACATAATTACTTCCGGCGTACCAGTGCTTGAGGACACTGCAACGGAGGCTCAGCGGAATCAACATAAAGAAGCGAAGAAACGGGATTGCAAGGCTCTCTTTTACATCCATCAGTGCGTTGATGAGAAAATTTTTGAAAAGATTGCGACAGCCTCCTCTGCTAAGGAAGCGTGGGACATTCTTGAATCGAGTTATGCCGGAATCTCAAAATTGAAGGCGGTCCGGATTCAGATGCTACGACGTCAGTATGAACTACTTAACATGGAGCCTCAAGAATCAGTAAGTGATTATTTCAATCGCATTTTGAGTATCACTAATTTGATGAAATCATGTGGTGAAACGCTGAAGACTCGAACAATCATTGAAAAGATTCTGCGTACCCTACCTCCCCAATTTGATGTGACCACCTCAAATATAGAAGAATCCCGTGATCTTGATACCATGAAGATTGATGAACTTCAAGGGACATTGGAGGTCCGTGAACACAGGCTTAAAGAACGAGATGCTCAGAAACCTTCTACCTCTGAACAATCTCTGTTGGCACTTCCTCCCAAGAAGCATGAGTTGGGGAGAGGAAGAGGCACCTCAAGAGGTGGCCGAGGTCGAGGCAGAAGGGGTGGCAGAGGTAGAGCCGCTTCAAGTGGTCGCGGTCAGGGTATTCCTCCTGAATGTTATCAGAAGGATACATATGGAAGAGGTAGAGGAAATCCCAACTGGAAAGGAGGAAGAGGAAATCCAAGAGGCAGTTCAAGAGGGGGTGGACGGGGTGCGTGGAAAGGCAATGACAGTTATAAGGATAAAAGTAACATTCAATGCTATGTGTGCAGTAAATATGGTCATTTCTCTTATGAATGTTGGTACAGAGATCAGTCTGGTGAAAAAGAAGAGGAAGCACATGTTGCAGAGAATCAAGGTTCAGATGAAGAGGTTGTACTTATGGCTACTACAATGGCAGAATCTGACCTGAATTGTGAAAATACTTGGTACCTGGATACAGGGTGTTCAAACCATATGTCTAGTAGGAAAGATTGGTTTGTTGAACTGGATGAAAATGCCAAGAGCAAGGTCAGATTTGCTGATGATAGTATCATCAACACTGAAGGAAGAGGGAAAATTCAAATCAGTTGTAAAGATGGTAAGAAGGCCCTAATTTCAGATGTATTGTTTGTACCTGCTATGAGACATAATTTGTTGAGTCTAGGGCAATTGCTAGAGAAAGACTATCGAATTCATATGCAGGATAGATTCATGAAAGTATTTGACAAAAATGGTGTTTTAATTTTAAAGGCTCCTCTATCCCCTAACAGGACCTTTAAGATTGACATTCTTGTTAATAAGGATGTATGTTTCAAAGTTGATGCTCTAGAAGAAAGTTGGTTGTGGCATTACAGATTTGGACATCTAAATTGGAAGAGTTTAAAGCAGTTGGGTGAAAAGAAAATGGTTATAGGTCTGCCTTCAATACAGTCTGAAGCAAAGATCTGTGAAAATTGCATTGTTGGAAAACAAACTAGGAGAGGGTTTAAATCCTGGATTCCAACAAGAAGTAAGAAGGTGCTGGAGGTTGTCTACTCTGATGTGTGTGGACCCTTTGAGGTTCCATCTTTAAGTGAAAAGCAGTATTTTGTCTCCTTCATAGATGACCTTAGCAGGAAGATGTGGGTTTACCTGTTAAAACACAAGTCTGAGGTCTTTACAACTTTTAAGAAGTTTAAAAACCTGGCTGAAAGACAAAGTGGAGAAATGATCAAAGTACTCAGGACTGATGGTGGAGGAGAGTATCTGAGTAATGAATTCAATCAATTCTGTGAACAAGAGGGAATAATACATGAAGTCACAGCACCTTATACCCCACAACATAATGGTGCTGCGGAAAGGAGGAATAGAACAGTGCTTAACATGGCTAGAAGCATGTTGAAAGCCAAGAATTTGCCCAAGTGTTATTGGGGTGCAGCTGTAACTACTGCAACCTATCTTCTCAATAGATGCCCTACTAAAAGATTGAATCAAATCACACCTGAGGAGGCTTGGTCTGGTCAGAAACCATCTGTGAAGCATCTGAAAATATTTGGGTCTGTATGCTATAGGCATATACCAGATGAAAAGAGGAAAAAGCTGGGAGACAAGAGCCAAAAGTTGATATTAGTAGGCTATGATCCTACTGGTGCTTATGTTCTCTATGATCCTGATGAAAGGAAGAGTGCAATCAGTAGAGATGTGATAGTAGATGAATCAAGCTCTTGGAATTGGGATGAGAAGAACTCCACACATGTACTGTTTCCATTACTCAGTACAGAAGATGGAGAGGGGTTTAATGAAACTCACAATGAAGATAACACTTGGGATAATGATCAGAATTCAGAAGATAATCAGAATGTGAGGACAGTAAGGAGCAGGAGAGCACCAAGAAGGTTGAATGACTATGAAGTATTGTCTGATGACATGATTAACAATGATGGTGAACTGGTTCATCTAGCTTTCTTTGGTGAGATTGAACCAGTTAAGTATGAAGATGCAGTGAATGACTCTAGATGGCTAGATGCAATGAAGGAAGAGTTATCTGCAATACAGAGGAATAACACTTGGGAATTGACAGATTTACCCAAACACAAGAAAGAGATTCCAGTAAAGTGGGTTTATAAGCTGAAGAAAGGACCTGATGGGTCTATTGTTAAATTCAAAGCTAGATTGGTGGTCAAGGGTTTTCTGCAGAAAGAAGGAATGGATTACAGTGAAGTTTTCTCTCCAGTTGCTAGATTAGAGACTGTCAGAACACTAGTAGCCTTGGCAAGTCTCAAAGGTTGGAAATTACATCAAATGGATGTAAAATCAGCTTTTCTGAATGGCCCTTTGAAAGAGGAGGTATATATCTCACAACCACCAGGTTTTGAATTGAAAGGCAGTGAAAGAAAGGTATACAAACTCCATAAGGCTTTATATGGCTTGAAACAGGCCCCTAGAGCCTGGAATAGGAGGATAGATCAGTTTCTATGCAAACTTGGTTTCATCAAATGCAGTGTTGAACATGGAGTGTACAGCAAAGCCTCAGGGGGAGAACTGATCTTAGTGTGCTTATATGTTGATGATCTGTTAATAGCAGGGAGTAATGAAGATCATATTGGAGAATTCAAAAGAAGCTTGAAAAGTGAGTTTGAGATGACAGATATTGGAGGCTTAGCTTATTTTCTTGGAATGGAGTTTGTGCAAACCAAGGATGGTATATTAATACACCATAAGAAGTATGCAGAAGATATTCTTGAAAGATTTGAGATGAAGAACTGTAATCCAGCTGTTACTCCCTGTGAAACAAATCTGAAGTTGGGAAACAATGAAGAAGGAAAACCTGTGAATCCAACTATATTCAGGCAGATGGTAGGAAGTTTGAGATATTTGTGTTCAACCAGACCAGATATCACTTATGCTGTAGGGCTCATTAGCAGGTTTATGGAGAAGCCAAAGACATCACACTTGATTGCAGCTAAGAGAATTCTCAGGTATATTAAATGTACATCAGATTTTGGCATTCTACTGCCAAACTCAGTCAAGAATAAGGAAGAACTGGTGAATGGGTATGCTGATTCAGACTGGGCAGGTGATCTGACAGACAGAAGGAGTACCTCAGGGTATGTGTTCAGGATAGGTGATGCACCAGTATCCTGGTGCTCAAAGAAACAACCAGTGGTGGCATTATCATCATGTGAAGCAGAGTATATATCTGGTGCCTTTGCAGCCTGTCAAGCACAGTGGTTGGATTCTCTGTTAAGGGAAATGCAGATTGAAACTAATACTACAACAGTTCTGAAGTTGGACAACAAATCAGCTATAAATCTGGCCAAGAATCCTGTGGCTCATGCTAGAAGCAAACATGTAGAAACCCGGTTTCATTTTCTCAGGGATCAGGTGAATAAAGGGAAGCTGAATTTGAAGTACTGTAGTACACAAGATCAATTGGCAGACATCTTAACAAAACCTTTGAAGATACAAGTTTTTCTGAAACTGAGAAAGGAGCTGAACTTGATTTCTTGTGCTGAAATTCAGGGGGAGTGTTAGAGTGGATTTCAGCCCATTGGGCTTATTGTAACCCAAAGATGTAATAACCGGTGTAGTGTATATATACTCCTGCCATTGATCAATAAAGTGTAGAGCCTTTACAATCTGTCATTTTAAATCTTACTCTCTTTCCTCTAACTGACTTAACGAACTGAGCTAATAGCCCTGAGCTCTGGTTGGAGTTGCGGAAGCAGCCTCTTGCATAAATACAAAGTAAGATTTGCCTATATGATACCCTTGTGGTGGGTCCCTTCCTGATCCTAGCTAAGCAGGCAGCCACTTAGCGGGGACACTGTGTGTGCGCTGGACTGCCATTGATATTTGTTAACACTTTAAGCTATGGAAAAAGCTTAAAGTTAAACTTTTTCACAAAGACTATGGAAAAAAGTTTCTTACTTTTTTTAATTACACAAAGACTAAGAAATTTAAACTTATGGAAAAAGCTAAATTGTTATAGTCAACTTCAAGTTTCCTTCTTTTTTGGGCATAAGTAAAACCAATACAACATATTCAAACCTTAATCCCATAAGAGTTTGGGGTCGGCTAACATGAATCAACATAAGAATTCGGAGCTGAAAAAGATAAAAAGATAAGGTAAAGATAGGATGAAGTAAAGATAAAGATAAAAAGATAAGATAAACATGATAAAAAGATAAGATAAAAAGATAAAGACCATAAGAAAGATAAAAAGGATTGGTACAGTAAAACCAAACATAAAAAACTATTTTCCTTGGAATTTTTTCTTTGCCCTACCATTGCTCTCACTCCAGACATATAATATAGCCTTGTAGTTTAATCACAACAAAGCGGTATAGTAAGAAAAAAAATCACCTTTTTGAAGATCTGCCGCTGATTCTGAGTTCACAATGTGTTCTATAGATATTGAAAATGATCAAACAGAATATATATCAAATAACAATGATCAAACATAATATCATCTTGTTGTATTCAAAGCATACATATTGATTTGTGTGTGTATCATCCAACAACTTACTGTCCTGGAGTTAAGGCTAGGGGACTGGATGTGGTGCCAACAACAATCTCACGTTTTCGAAATGGAGGTGATAATGAGACGGCTGACTTGCTAGAGACTGTTATTTACCCAGAAGAGATAACCCACTGTGCTGCTGGGGTGAAATGGTTCAAGTACCTTTGCTTGAGGTCAAGAAGTCCAAATTTAGCCGATGACATCCTCTTGTCGCAAGGTGATGTGAGCACTGCCGACGTTGATGAAGAAGTGATTAGAAAATTTCATGCCACTGTAAAAGCGCATTTCAGAGGTCCGCTAAAGCCGCCTTTCAATGTGGCTGCTAGAGAGGCTGCTGGGTTTGGACCTCTATGGTATGAACCTCTTGCAGCGAAAGATGTCTCCTCCTTTGTATAGTGACCACTGAACATGATGTTGTCTGATTTGAACATCCTTTCTATTGTTTGTTTATCTTTTTTACTAACCTTTCCCACATGGGCCACACCCCAAATGACGGTGTAAACATATATACTGTTTTTTCTAACATTCCCCTCGCACCCCTTCGGTGTTGCATTTGCTACAAGAGCATATATCGACAATATAAAATGAAAAATGACTTGCCGAGTATTTCTTTTCGTTTAATTAATTGACTATATCATAACTCTACCATAAAAGTTCAAACTTTTAGGCCGATTGAATCAATTTACCTTGATCATTAGTACACGACGATGCCAAAAGTAATATCCATTTGCCACAAAAGTAATATCCATTTGCCAAAAATTGATCGGATTTGAAAAAACAGCCTCTTTTTAGTTGATGGGGTGGTGTGTCAAACACTGCCAATCGGCTGTTGCTATAAGCAGTTTATATTACTGGTTTCATAACAACCGGTTGAATTATCTATTTTGAATGGCTGGTTATGTTGGCAATTTATAAATAATTGTTTTGTAAATTAGCTGAATGAGAATAGCTGTTAAGAAATAAAAAGACATAAAAGGACATTATTGTATACTTGCTATTTTTTTGTTAGTGATGACAATAAAAATTGTGTTGATTTATATAAAATTAAAAGAATAGTGTCTGTTTGAAATTAAAAGAAAGAATTAATTCCACTTTTGATCCTATGAGTTTTATGTCATTTCCACATTTAGTCAACATCTTTCATTTTGTTCACTTTTGGTACTTTATTAATGTTTCTTGATCATTTCTTGTCCTTCTTTGGTGATTTTAACCACCGGAATTATAACCGAAAGGATCATATATGGGCGAAAACACAATAGTCATGTACTAAAAATGATGAAAGTCAAAAACGTGGACCAATTATGGAATCAGTGTGATACTCGTAGGATCAAAAGTGAAATTTATTTTTTAAAAGAAATAACTAAGTTCATTAACTGTACAAGCTTTATATTAAAATTAAGAACCCTTTTGTTGACTCTGTTTTTAGATTTATCAGTCTTATAAGTTAATTTTCATCAAATATATAACTCTTCATTTTAGGCGCTAAGTTGGATAATAATCGAAATAGGTATGGCTAAAGATACTTATGTGATTGAATTGATTGAAGTTTGATCATTTTGATCAGTAAGTTTTTTCTTATATGAATTTGCGGTGTCTATCTTGTGCCAAAACAAAGTAGGGTATCCTACACCAAATGAGATCAAGATGCCCATTATTGCCTACAACCCGCATTTTCAAACTAGAAACATGAAGTTCTCTGGAGTGAAGGAAATATCTATCGGTGATGTGCTTGATAGAAGATTTCTGGAGTTGGAACGAACACTGAAAGAAAGCCTACAAACCACCTAGGAAACACTCTTCGTACACGAGAGTATGCTATTCAAACTGAGGAGATCAATTACATGAACTTCTATGAGGAGTGGGGGAATCATGGAGGTAACAACTACTACAACTCTTCTCATCAACAAAGGGGGAACCAATACAATAGTTGGAAACCACATGGGAGTTCTTCAAACTCTCAATCCACCTTGGAGGAGATGATGACGTTTTTTAACACAAGTATTCTAGCTGAAAATGAAAGACATTATAGTAGAATGGAGGCATCCATTGAGAATCTCCATTCTCAATTTACCAAACTCGGCAGCCGAATTGAAGATCAAAACATGATTCTTAATCAAAGGATGGACAACCTCAAGCGAGATACCAAAAGCTCCTTCCACACTCTACAATTGCAGATTAACCAACTTGCTCAACAAGTTACTATAACAGGAAGTGACATGGTCATCACAACAGAAAGCATAAGAAGAAAGGAGGATCCCAAAGTTCCGGAGAGCAAGAAGACCCCAAACCTAATTGATGTACACGACACGACTAGAAAGCTATTTGTGGGAGATAAAGATACCATATTTCATGTTTGGAGAGTACAACCCACTCTAGAAAATTTCTTGAAAGCCGAAGCCAATGTTCTCACGCCTCCAAATGGTAGAAGAGACCTCTTTTTCGTTCAAGAAGGATACGCCAACAACAAAGGAGGACATAATCGGGATACGCCAAAAAGGTACATTTTTGACCCAGGTGATATTCTTCTCAATATTGAAAATAAGAGCTTAACATCCTCTCCTCCCCGCAAGATTTTAAAAGAGACGTCCTACTAGCTAAACATCTGCGGGAATTCAGTTGCACAAAAGAGGTATGTTCGTCCGGCCTATGACGTTAAACTAAGCGCTACTTGGGAGGCAACCCAAACAAAAACAAAAACAACTTAATAGGTTTAATTCACTTTACATTGACAACAAATCCAGGTTCCACAAATATTTTAAATTGGATTGAGATTTGATCAAATTAATATGATTTAGACATTTAGTTCAGTCTGTTCTTGAGCAGTAGATATTTAATAAATGTATATTTTATAACTAATATCACTAATCCTCTATTATCCCACTATCATTTTTTACTTTTCCAAAATCACTTCAAAAGTGTTTTTTCAAACGCATTTGCTAAAGCATTTGCAAACGGCAGGGATTATTTTTATTACAATTGCAAAAACCAACTGCACCTACGTTTTCCCGGCAAAGCACGGACCATCGACCTTTTGGAGTCGCCTTCACCAGCTCTTGACAATTCACTGTAATTATTTAGCGCTTCCAGATCATCTTATACTTTGACAATTAACTGTAATGATTTAGCGTGTTAGGTTTCCTCATTTCAATTTCCCAATTTTCTTTATTTATCGTTATCATTTATGTTGTCTTCCCTCTAATTTCTTCCTACGTGTGTTTAAATGTTCAAGTGTTTTTGCCATTGCGAATGGCGGAATATATTACCAGTTTCATTTCTTCTTGGGTGGGCAGTATATATGCTGGAGTCTAATATTTTAAAGTTTAAATATGATTTACTTAAGCTTCGAAATATGTCATTGCTAATCCACAGGAAAGCTTCGAAAAAAATGAAAAAGTCTCAATTGCCGCTGCTAAACATATGTGGACCTGAGAAGGCAGTTAAGAAGGAAGCTTTAATGAAGCTTTTGAGATGGCATTTCGGGCACCCCAACTTCCAGGGAAAACAATTAGAAGCTATTGAGGCTGTTTTGTCAGGTATATCCTTTAAATGAATACATTCGACTTGATAGAGGCTCAGAGCCATGGTTGTTGTAGCTATTATGGTGCGTTGGCCTGCTAATCAGGCAGCAGGGAAACTGCGCACTCCCGGAAAGCTCATGTTTTGCCGTTTCAAATACCCGGGAATGAGCCAAAAAGTCAGAAACTTCACATTCCGGGTTCTTAGAAATTGGGAAACTAGTTTCACTGTTGGATTATCATCTATGAAACATCCAGTCTTTTATTGATGGGCTTTCTTGTTGGAAATGATTGTCTTTACATGATATTTTTTAATGTATTATTATGAGAATTCTTGATTGTCTTCAAAGCAATATTGTCTTCAGGACATTCTAGATTTCTAGAGGGTAATGCACTGTTGGAAACATATTACATTGATACTACAATGTGAATAATTCATATATTTGAACATGCAGACTATTTTTGTCTTTAGTTTTCTAGTATAGTTTATATGAATACACACACATACATACAGGGTGCAGATGTGTGAACAGTGCGAAATGTACCTATAATCACCTCGGCTGCACTTATATGATAAGTTGATGCACTTTAAGCAAATGTAAAATAAGCATGTTTAATAAGAACATGTGGTGACAATTTTGTAAATAAGTGATTTTTTACAAACATGAAAAAGTGCCGTACCAAAACAGAAAAGTGCACCGTAGCACTACATAAGTGCATTTCACACTTTTTACACGTTAAGACCTTTTTATTTGATCTAACCCTAAATATACATGTATGATGTATGTGAAAATTTTTCCTTTATACTTTACTTGGATATGTTTTTATGCTATTAGCTATTCTGTTGATATGCATCTATATGAAAAAAATATATAAAAAACATACCCTATAATTTTACATTATGCATTTGCCTCACATTTTTGTATTCTTTATTTATTTGAAATACTGTTTCCCGCATTTCTGTTTCTGTGCTACTTACCTAATTGGCAAAGTTATACTTACAATATCTGATCTAGGTTGAGGATTTGGATTTCAATTTTTTTAATCCCGCTAGGTAAACCACCCATTGGTGGGGTAGAAGCCGGGGAACATCTACCAAATTTTATTAAAATAAAAGAAGTACAAAAAGAGAGGGGGGCATAAAGAGAAAACCTCTCCGGAGAAGGCATACCTTCTCTTGAGAGGATTTGGATTTCAAATATAAAGTTAAAAACTTAAAAAAACTGTGTTGTTTTTACCATCTTCCTTTACTAACTATTTATGTTGGTCTATTATGTAGGAAGGGATTGTTTTTGCTTGATGCCAACTGGTGGGGGGAAATCAATGTGCTACCAGATTCCTGCTCTTGCTAAACCTGGGATTGTACTTGTAGTTAGCCCTCTAATAGGTCACTTCCATGATACTTCTTTTCATTTCATCTCATGAAGGAATCACAAGCTACATGTTTTTTGTGTTCTATTGCAAATGATAGGGTCATGCCTGCCTTTATTGGTCTTTCATTTGTTTCAGCTCTCATGGTGAGTGTCTGAGTAGCATATTCCATTTTCTATTATGCCTAGGTGTTATTTGTTTTTCCTGTTATTTATATGCTTCTTGTTTCTAATAAACCAGGAGAATCAAGTTTCTGCATTGAAAGACAAAGGAATTCCAGCTGAGTTCCTCTCGTCAAGCCAGACCTCGCAAGTAAGAAAAAAGGTAAACACTTACCAGAAGACATCACTGAATTGCAGCCTCATAAGTAAATGGGTGTGGAGCTTTGCCTAATATGTAAGCAATAAAAGCCAGATGGTCTTGCAGTTTTAGTCTATAACGACATGTGGCAGATACAGATGTCATTTTTGGCATTTAGTAAGTTCTCAAGTGGGAAGCTGCAGATATTGTAGTCTAGTATGCTCAATATGTACAGACCATAGTGTTAATGCCCTTGAAATAACTTTCGTAAGCTAGGGTACTTTTTATAATGCACAATATGATAGCTTTGGACATAATTTATCTCTCAGGGAGGGCCATTTTGTGGACAGTTCTGGATAGTTTGCCTTCTGCCTTTTTTGGGTGCTCTTTTGCCAGACAAGAGTTTATTTGCTTCCTGCAGGCATAACTGCTCTCAGGGATAATTAATATTTAAGGACTGAAGTTTTCTTTAAATGTTAGATATACGAGGACCTGGAATCTGTGAAGCCATCTCTGAGGTTATTGTATGTTACACCAGAATTAATTGATACAGTTGGGTTCAAGTCGAGACTGGTGAAGATTCACTCAAGAGGATTGCTAAACCTTATTGCTATTGATGAGGTTTTGAACCATCCCATGATCTTCCATAACTAAATCAACTGGAGTCTATTGACACTTTAAAGTTGAGTGTTCTATTATTCAATCTCATAAGTAAGATAATTAAGCATTTTCTGTGTCATTAACAAAACAGGCCCATTGCATCTCTTCATGGGGCCATGACTTCAGGTGAACATTTAATATTATACATGTATACGGAGTACTTCTTCTCTACTTTTCTGGACTTGAGGTGAACATCTTTTGGTTTTGTTTATAACAAAAAGCTCTAACATAGTCTATGGCCCAAATGTTAGAGGATCTTCAATACTGCTTTTTGAGATTTTTATATCCTCTCGACTCATGCATTTCATATTGTTTTATATTCCTACTTTCTTTTGATTGGTTTTATTTGGTGGTGATATATTATTTGACTTTCATTTACTTTAATATCATTGTTTGCACGACTTAGGCCTAGTTACAGGAAGCTTTCTACCTTGAGGAGCTACCTGCCAAATATCCCAGTACTGGCTTTGACAGCAACGGCTGCTCCAAAGTGAGCTTTTTTCTTTGTTCTCAAATATATCTGTAGTCATTTGCCATCTCATATTCTATTTAACGTTCTGAAACAACCTTCCATAAAATGATATTTTTCTTCATGAGGTAAGTAAAAGCGGTTTTTGTGGGAAAATACTCGAGAAGTAGTAAGTTGTAACCTTTGTTACCTATTTCTCCACCCCCAAAGAGTCATGTTTGTAAACTGAATTTTGTCCCAAACAAAGATTCCAATTTCAACTAAAGATGTTAAATTTTCATTGATTTAATATACATTTTCTGGAAAAAGTGTTCCAAACAAGTTAAGTATATTTTGATCAAACAATACGGTGTAATTTACTAGAGTTGTACTTTACCAAAACTAAAAAGTTACACGGGGTAAAAGTTGTAGCTTGATAAAAGAAGACCTTTGTTTGTGGGTCGGAGGTTGTATTTATTAGATCATAGAATTGTTCTAGACTTGCATATAACTTCTTTCATTAAATCACTATAAAGACACCATTCAGAAGATCAATACATGTAATCTAATGATCTTCACTTGTCACCTACCAAGAAAGTTCAGAAGATTTTGATGTAATGGAACCTTGCTAACATGTAATCCCTATCATTAGCTACAGATATGGCTTGTTTGATAGGAGATCTCGGAGGGGAAGGAAGGAGAGGAGTGATTTTTATTTTTCAAATTATTTCTACATTTACTCATTTAGAAGGTTGGAGTTAATGTGAAGACAAAACTTTATAAAAATATAAGGAGTATGATCTAACTAGTCGTATTGTTCTTTCTAGTCTAAAACTAACAAATACACATCATCATGAACAACATCCAAGCCTTACTCATAAAAGAGTTTGGGGTCGGCTAACAAATGCACATGAATTAGTAAAAAAATTGATCCTCCCCTTCCCTCCGAAATGCTCGAACCAAACAATCCGTTATGCAAAGAGAACTATCTGATAATAGTTAGCCACATTTTGGGATTTTTCCTGCAGAGTTCAGAATGATATCATTGGATCATTGTCTTTGCAGAGTCCTCTAGTCCTCAAATCATCTTTCAACCGTCCAAATATCTATTATGAAGGTCAGATCGAATCACTTAGGCTGCTTGGTTGCTCTATATTTTATTGTAGTGTGTTTTATTTGGGTATGGTAAACTTATTTGTATAATCTGAAGCCTCACTAGTCACTACAAGTAGAGCTTCTATGTTCTGTCCCTCTTGATATCATGATGCATAAGTCCTTCTAATTGGGGCGACAAAAAAATCCAATATGTGAAATGTTAAATGGTGGGTAACAGTATGTACATAGCTGCGTCTGTACATTTATGCAGTAGCATAAGTCTGTTCCTGCATCTTCCATTCAGTATCATTTAACACTTCACTGCATCTTCCATTAAGAATCATCTTCCATTATTTTTTATTGCTAATAAATATCTGCATGGCTAAATTAAGCATCATCATGATGCAGTTCGATATAAAGATCTCTTGGATGATCCATATGCTGATGTATGTAATCTCCTGAAATCTTTGGGAAATGTTTGTGCAATTATTTACTGCCTCGAACGTACAGCATGTGATGACCTTGCCTCCCAGCTGACGACTTATGGAATTTCATGTGCTGGTGATTGAATATTCATTTGAAATGTTAATTGAAGGCTCTTTCTGTATGCGTTTTCCTTAAATTACGATTCTATATTGTGACTATTGTCAGCATATCATGCTGGACTAAATAAGACATTGCGAAGCTCTGTCTTGGATGATTGGATTTCCTCCAAAACACAAGTAGTCGTCGCAACAGTGGCTTTTGGGTATGGCTTCCTTTATAATGCGAGTATCTTTTGTGTTTGTTTGGAATAAGTAACAAAAGCTAGGTAAAAAGAAAGGTGGCTGGCAGCCATCTTATGATAAACATTTGCATTATCTTTGCTGATATATATTTGGGCTTGAAAGTCGTATTTTTAATCTATTCCTGTTTTGCACTGCTTCTGATTTGGCTGCAGGATGGTATGCACCCAGCACTTCACAATATTCAGTTTCATTTCGTCAAGCTCCAACAGGATTTAACTACACATGAAAACTCTTTTTTTTTACAATTCCTTAAAGGGCATAGATCGAAAAGATGTCAGAGTTGTCTTCCACTTCAATGTTCCTAAGTCAATGGAAGCTTTCTATCAGGAGTCAGGTAGAGCGGGCCGTGATCAATTGCCCTCCAGAAGTGTTGTTTATTACGGAATGGACGATCGTCGGAAAATGGTTGAACCTCCCTTTGAAACTAATTTGCTCCTTTCTTTTTTCCCAATCATTATTGTACCATTTTAGTAGACACCTTTTACTTTGCAGGAATTCATTTTAAGCAATTCAGAAAGGAAGAAAGAGTCTTCAAGTTTACAAGATGGGTCCTCAAAGAAGGCCCTTGATAGCTTCAGCCAGGTTCTTCTTGAACTCTTTGATTGACTTTGGTACTCAACTTGTCTGATTTTTTAAGGTTGATGCGTTCAGATCGTCAAGTACTGTGAAGTAGTTGGTTGTCGCCGTAAAAAGATCCTTGAGAGCTTCGGGGAGACGGTATACCTGTCTTACTACTCCGTAGTTTCTTATGTTTCCTTATGGTCTGTTTGGATGGTTGGTTTTGAAGGGGTTTAGGGGGTAAGACTATGGAGGGGTTAGTCTATATCGTGATAAACATAATGTTTCTCAAAATGAGTAATGGTAGACCGTAGACTGAAATTGATAGAGAGCAGGGAGAGCAGGGGGCTGTGTGGAAGAGGAGGGTCCGAGACCCAAGGGGCTGTCAGTTTACTGCAGGCGGGAACGGGCTTGAGCCCACCTTCGTGGGCTGGTTGCGGGCTGCTTAATTAATATTTATTATTTTTAATTTTCCTGATTTGTTTCCTATTTGGAGTTAATTAGGATTTCTATTATTTGTTTCCTATTAGGAGTTAATTAGGATTTCTATTATTTGTTTCCTATTTGAAGTTGATTAGGATCTCTATTATTTTGTTTCCTAGTTGGAGTTGATTAGGATTTCTAGAATTTTGTTTCCTAGTTTGAGAATTAGTAGATGGGTATTTAAACCCCTTGTTAGGATTCATTCTGGATCATCTTGGAATAAAATTGGTTTTAGCCTTTTGGCTCTGGGCAACGGTATTTTTATCGTTGATTATCTGGGCAACGGTTTACCCCGTTGATTTTATTTTTCTGTTACACAACAATTGGTCCAACCTGCCAGATCCCGTTCCCGCCGGAATGAAGAAATCGAACATGGAGCTTTTGACAGTGGTGGAGGCCAAACTAGCCTTGTTAAACCAGAAACTGGACGCTCGAGGAGTTCAACTGGCAGAGATCACAGCCTCCTTGGCTGCGCTCACTGCGCTCATGAAGACTTTTATGCCGCCAACGGCAGAAGGGCACTCATCGACAGCCGCGTCACTGGATTCTGCGTCAGCATCTGCATGCGAACTTGAGGAGATTGCTGACCCGGAGAAAGATGCAGCACTAGGAAGTTGTGGGTCGGGAAGGCTTGCTTCTTGCTTTCTTGATTCCATGGCAATCCTAGATTCGCCAGCATGGGGTTATGAATTGAGGTACAAGTATGGACTACACAAGCAACACATTACGGAAGTTGGACAAGAGGAAGTTACTGAAGGTTGGCTTGAGAAATTCAGTCCCTGGGAAGTTGCAAGGTATGACATTGTGTTTCCAGTCGGACTTTTTTCTGATGATCATGTTGACCCCAATGGCTCCCGGAAAGGGATTGGTGGGGAGGTCATACAGGCGGTTGCATATGATGTTCCAATTCCTGGCTATAAAACAAAGAACACAAATAGTCTTAGACTTTGGCAGGCCAAAGCTAGTGCAGAGGACATAAACTTATTTCAAGTTAATGGTGGTCAATATGAATCTGCTACACAGTTTCACTCTAGTGCTCACCATATTTGTGCTGTCTTTGATCCCGGCGATGCAACAGAAAGTGGAAAACTTTTAAGACTTAAACAACAATTTTTGCTAAGTGGTGCATCACTTCAGGATACCATATACAGATTTAAGGAGAGGAATGATGGGAAAGGTAGGCTTGATTGGTCTTCATTCCCCTCAAAAGTTGTCCTGTTAGAGGCCAGTGGGAATAGCAATATGAATTTTGCACTGAATGGGTGCCTAATCATAGGAACATTGGACGGGGCTAATATGGAAATCAGAGAGGAAACTGGGGAAGATAATTTTTTCCTTTTTGGTGTAAGAGCTGAAGAAGTGTTTCTTCTACGCAAACAAAGAGAGAACAGTCAATTTAAATAAGATCCTAGGATTAAAAAGAGCTTTGTGAGGCAGTTTTCAGATTCCAACCTTGAAGACAAGGTTATTTTGAAGGAGGATGGATTGATAGAGAGCAGGGGGGCTGTGTGGAAGAGGAGGGCCCGAGACCCAAGGGGCTGTCGGTTTACTGCAGGCGGGAACGGGCTTGAGCCCACCTTCGTGGGCTGGTTTCATTTTCATTTACCCCAATGCCGCAAAGGCTCCCACCTACGGTGGGGTAAGGGGGGGTCGGATGTACGCAGTCTTACCCCTATACTAAAGCACAGAGAGACTGTTTCCGGATGACCCATAGTGAAAATCGCGTCCAAAATTGCATGGACTGACTGCTGCTCCATAACAAAGAAGCGCAGACAGTTTAGTGAGTCATTTTGCTTTATTCCATCATAATCTCAAGCCAAAAAATAATGAATCTTTGGCTCCATTGCAAATGATGGAAATCTTCGTGGGCTGGTTGCGGGCTGCTTAATTAATATTTATTATTTTTAATTTTCCTGATTTGTTTCCTATTTGGAGTTAATTCGGATTTCTATTATTTGTTTCCAATTAGGAGTTAATTAGGATTTCTATTATTTGTTTCCTATTTGAAGTTGATTAGGATCTCTATTATTTTGTTTCCTAGTTGGAGTTGATTAGGATTTCTAGAATTTTGTTTCCTAGTTTGAGAATTAGTAGATGGGTATTTAAACCCCTTGTTAGGATTCATTCTGGATCATCTTGGAATAAATTTGGTTTTAGCCTTTTGGCTCTGGGCAACGGTATTTTTATCGTTGATTATCTGGGCAACGGTTTACCCCGTTGATTTTATTTTTCTGTTACACAACAGAAATGTTATACAAACACTTATTGTCATTATCTTTCATTATCTATTATACTAGTTTTTCGACGCGCGTTGCGTGTGCGGGATAGTGCCCAATATTATGTAATGTGGGCACTATATGCAATTGATATAACAATTAATAGGATGATATGATTGTTGCATTTTTTTAGAAAAAAAATGAGATATATATCAAGATAGAGCCTAAACCCCTCCATTGAAACAGACCATGTCATTTTGTTTTATGATAACTTCGTTGCATTCATTGTCTTGACCACACTAGGTATCTGCATCTTTATGTGGAAAATCTTGTGATGCTTGCAAGCATCCCAATCTAGTTGCGAAAAACTTGGAGGAGCTCAAAGCTGCTGCCACCTTTCGTCAACGAAATGGATCTTCAAGGATTTTTATTAGCAGGTAGCTTCTAGTGTCACTTGGATTGATTTGGTTGTGGGATTTGAGCTAGTGGTAGTCAGATATTGAGAATTGAATGTAATTACTGAAAATTTGATAAAAATGTGTCTAGAATGGTTGGAGTTCACCTAATTTGCGGAAATTAGTTGAAACCTGTCCGTACTATATAGGAATTCTGTCAGATGAGAATTATAAAGGTTCGCTTGGATTTCGTATTTTTTAGGGAAAATAGCAAATACTCCGTATGATGCTAAAGGTTCATTTCTCATGTTTGATTTTACTTTGAAAATGCAAATGGACTATGAAGGATTTCTTTTATTGATGGTTACATATATTTGGGTTTCTCACTCTTTATACAATAGAAATAAATATATAAAATGAGCTCCAACAAACACTAGCATACAATGAATTCGTTGAGTTTGTGACTTATTTTCTTGCAAATTTTGTTTCCTTCTAATGTGCCTTTCTATTTCCACCTTATTTCTATCCCTAGTATTGTACAGTTTCCAAACACACACTTAAAGATCATAGATTTTCCTGATTCCTTGGTTTCCGGATCGAAACATATGCATGCCACCCCATTCCCGCTAATCACACTCCAATCCCAATGTCAGCATCTTTATGTCTCACAGATATGTTGTCTCAGTAAATGAGTCCAATTTGGCTTCACTTGCCATAACACGAGATTTTACTTGATTTTGTTTTTGTAGCTCACCGAACCTCAATGGAGGAGACTACTCTGAATTCTGGAACCGTGAGGATGATGCAAGTGGGTCAGAAGAAGACATTTCTGATTCAGACGGTACTATAGATTGAAATAAAAAAAACCTTGCTGCACGCAGTCGTTTGAATTATCTAGGATAAAACTTTTAAAGGCTTATTATACAAATTTGCACAAATACAGAAGTTCTTGATGCTGCAAAGAATGTAGCTTCCTCAAGGACATCAACAAAGTTAAGAATCCAAGACAAAATTGAATTGCTGCAACGAGCAGAAGAGAATTATTACAAGAACAACAATACTGAGAAGCAGGTTTTCTTTTTCTAATTTGCTATTAAAATTAGAGCCCATTTGATAACACTGAAACTGGCTGAATTGTTTGATTCTGCTGAAATTTGTGAAGTTCTGGCTGAAGTGACTAGATTGGCCTATTATGCTGAATTATGAAAAAATATACTTAAAATATATTATACGGAGTATTAATAATGGTTAAAATGGTTCTCTTCAGTAACGTCATCCAATTCAGCTAGAAAAGTAACTCCAACCTTACTTATTTTGATTATTACACAACTCAGTCCCTGAAATCAAAAGTTACGTGTTTGGTGAAGATAAAGCTGGTATGCCGAAAACAGGATCATCAAACTGGCTCTTATTGTTATTGCTATTGCTATTATGTTTATTAATATTTTATAACTATTACACATTATTTACTATCATTTTTGGCGTGTCTGAGGATAAAGGTGATTGAGGCCTTTACCATTCTACTTCATAGAGAACTAACTCTTGGTTGGGGGATTTTGGAGTGGAGGGAGGGAGCGTGGGGACTGGGGAGGGGGTGAAGTTTATTTTGTTGATTTATCTCTATTGTTAGGTGTTGGAACTTGGAAAGGAAGTGAATGTGAGAAATTACTAAGAAACCACAATCTAAGGGCTTGTTCAATCTCATTTTCAATTTCCCATGTTTTTTAATTTGAAACCTAAAAACAGAATAATGAAGACTAGAAAGTGTTTTTCAAAATCTTTGATGGCAGTACTCAAAATTAACACGAGTTTTATAAGTGTAATCACTTTTAATCCATCATTACTAAACCTATATCGCATAACCTTTTAAAATCCTGGGGGATAAACACTAAAACAGCAACAGTACTGAATGAGTCCTTACTAATGAGTATTGAGCGTTATTTTTCTGATGTATCATTAGTAAAACCAATATCACTCCTCTCTATCGTCTTCAGAATCATCAAAAAGGGCTTATATATAGAGGTCTACTAGCTCACAGTTTTCCATGTTTTTTTCTCAGGCAAATAAAATAGACAAAAATGCAGTATCTGAAACGTTAAGAGAGACGGGCAAACAACGATTGCTAAACGCATTAAAACAAAATGAAGAGAGGTTCTCTGATACAAGGTAATAATGCAGTATCCCCCGCCCCCACCCTCACCAATCACCCACCCCACCCCAAGGTTTTATCTTGAATTTGGTTTTTCTCTTTATGCAGATTGAGCTTAGAAGATTCTGCCTCGACTCTTGAAAAGGAATGTTACCAAAAGTATGGTAAAAGTGGGAAGTCGTTTTACTTATCACAAATGGCAAGCACAGTGAGGTGGCTTTCAAAAGCAGACCCCACAGAACTTAGAAATAAGCTCAGGTGTAATATATCTTCTTCTTCGGAAGCCGGCCCACCACCAACAAATCTCCCTGTTGTTTCATCAGTATTATCGGGTAGTGAGAAGACCAAGCACATTCTTGTTTCAGAAACAGAAAAAGAAATGGATGAAAAAAAGGAAGATGTCTGTGTTGCTGTTGCCACTACATTGCCACCTATTCCATCTTTCTCAGAGTATATAAACAGCAGAAATGTGAAGGGTCAATGGGAATCCACCTCGAATAAGCGTTCACCGCCTGAGATGTCCGGAGAGGATATACTGAAGAAAATGCGATCTTGAATCAAACTGGTCTATATCTTACGTATTTTAACTGCACATGGCCATACGTTTTATATGTCAATACTTTCAATAGAATATGTAAACCACCTTTATCATATACGTAGTGATAACTTGAAAGTGATCTTTCTTGGCATTTCTGATGAATTACATTAAAATGTTTTTTTATACACAACAACATTAACCTAGTTGGCTAAATGATTTATGATTGATATAGTTAACTGTCTCTATTTTTCGGACTATTTTGATAATTCCAGTTTAAGAATATCATTCTATGATTGAATGATTGATATTGTTTCTCTTCGCTAAACACATTTGAACCACCCAATTTTAACTATGTTTAAAAAATTACAAAATCTTTGTTACTTTGTTGTTGAAAACAACGAAAATAATACTTCAATCTTCAGTTTAAAATGATACTTAATCTTGAGTTTTTTCCAATTTCAGTCCTACTCGACTATTGAGTCAGTGACACTTTTGATACTCGACTTTCGATTTTTCCATATTTACTTTTCGAGTATTGTGCGAGAGACACTTTTAGTCCTTAACTTCAATGTTTTACACATTTAGTTCTCTGAGTATTATAAACTTGACACTTCTAGTCATTCCACTATGAATTTGACACAATAAGTGGACTAAAAATGTCACTATTATAATAGTTGAAGGAACAAAATTGTCACTTTTATGAAAGTCGGAGGATCAAATGTGGAAATTTTCAAAGACAGACACCAAAAGTGTCTGTCACGCAATATTCGAAAGACTAAAAGTGGAACAACTTAAAGTCGGAGGACTAAAAATAGTCGGAGGACTAAAAGTGGCAAAAACTCCTTCAATCTTCTTTTAGTTATTAATTTTATGTGGAAAATGTATTTTAAATATAAACGAGCAAGTTCAATTAGTTATAGGAAAAATTGATAAGAATAATCCCCCTTTGGCCGATCATTTCATAATAATTTCACCTTTACGTAATTCCAGAATAATCTCACTTTTGCACAACATCTTCTTTCGTTGGTCCATGGCCGTTTGGTGACCTATTATATGGGGGTTTTTGTATTTTTTGGAAAACTTACATAAATAATCCCACATTTCACAAATATGCTCAAAACAGTCTCATATTTCATTTGTTTTTTCTCCCTAAAATTTTTCTTTCTTTATTTTATCCATGAAAACTTTTTTATTCCCTTTTCCATCCTTTAATTCTTATTTCTTTTCCATATTTATTATTCTATTTCTCACTCTATTAGGAGAGTTTTTTTGTAAATTTCAAATACATTTTTTGTTATTTTATTTTATAAAATAACATAATGATGCACCTCATCAAGTTGATTCAAAACCCGTGGATGAAATAAAGTTGTATTATGATTGTCGATATTTGTCATCGTGTGAGGCTGCTTGGAGACTTTTTGCCTTTGACATAAATTATAGAGAACCTTCTGTTGAGAGACTAACATTTCACTTGCCTGACGAACAACATGTGATATTCGACAAAGGTGATTCCCTTCAAGAGGTATTGGATGCTCAAGCACAAAAAGAAAACAAAATTTCTTGCGTGGATGGATGCAAATGCAAAGTACCCTGAAGCAAGAGTCCTAACGTGCGCTCAGTTCCCTTGAAAGTTTGTGTGAAAGCAAAAAGAACACGAGTGGCTTCAAAGGAAAAGGGGGAACACGGTTGGGAGATTGGATTTCGTGCCTCCAGCAACAGGTGAATTGTACTACTTGCGTACATTGTTGAACCAAGTCATGGGACCAAGATCATTTGTTGAAATACGAACCATTGACAACATTGTGTATCCCACATTCAAAGACGCGTGCAATGCGTTGGGATTGCTAGGTGGTGATAAAGAATACATCGATGCTATCACAGAATCGAGTTTTTGGGGAACTGGGGAGTATTTGAGGTTCTTTTTTGTTGTATTAATGTTGTCTAACCAGATGTGTACGCCACACGTGGTTTGAAAAAAAAACATGGAAATATCTAAGCGATGATATTCAGCACAGGCAGAGATTACTTTTACAGTTTCATGGTAAGTATATTACTATTTTTTTATTAGTTATAATTATTTTTTATTAATGTATATAGATGGAATGATTAATGTTAAAAGTATACTATTTATTTTATTGTTATTATTATTTATTATTATTAGTTTCACTTGCTAATGATAAAAATCTTTATGGAAATGTGATATAACTATTTATGTCTTTTTTGACAGATCTGATTCTATCAGATGAAGAATTAAAGAGTTTTACTTTGGTCGAGATAGAGAAGTTGTTGCGCAAGAGTGGAAAAAGTTTGATGGAGTTCCCATCCATGCCACGTCCTGACAGGACACTGATTTCTGAATCACAAAATAGGCTTCTCCACGATGAGTTGAACTATGATAGAGCATCTCTGGCCATTGAACACTTGCATCTTCTGTCAACCACGACTTCTGAACAGAAGAATATATATGAGACCATCATGCAATGTGTCATTGAAGATCATGGCGGTGTGTTTTTCCTGTATGGATATAGCGGAACATGTAAAACTTACATATGGAGGGCGATATCTGCATGCATAAGATCCAAAGGCGAAATTGTGTTGACAGTAGCATCCAGTGCAATAGCATCATTGCTAATTCCTGGTGGGCGAACAACTCATTCCCGGTTTGCCATCCCTATTAATGTCAATGAAGACTCCACTTGCAATATAAAACCAGGAAGCGATATGGCTGAGCTAATCATCAAAGCAAAGCTTATCATATGGGATGAAGCTCCGATGACACATAGACATTGCTTTGAAGATGTTGACAGGACATTAAAGGATTTGCTCAGATTTCACAATCGTGATAGTTTGAAGCTTCCATTTGGAGGGAAAGTTGTCGTTTTTGGTGGTGATTTCAGACAAATACTTCCCGTCATACCAAAGGCATCAAGACAAGAGGTTGTCCGTGCTACTATTAATGCCTCATATATTTGGAGACATTGTCGCGTTCTCACTTTGACAAAAAACATGAGACTGCAATGTGGTTCTTCGCATTGTAATGTTGATGAATTGAAAAGTTTCTCAGATTTGATGCTCAAAGTAGGAGATGGAAATGTTGGGGACGTACAAGATGGAGAGGTGTTCATTGATATACCTGATGATATGCTTATTACCACTTCAGGTGATCCTATTGCTTCAATTATTGTTAGCACTTATCCTTCGTTTCTGGAGAATATGGCCGATCCAACATATTTTCAGCACAGAGCTATTTTGACACCAACAAATGATGTTGTAGAGCTTATCAATAATTATATGATTTCATTGATGCCTGGAGAAACAAGGACATATTTGAGTTTTGACAGCCCATGTTCACCTGAAGTGCATCGAATTCGATGAAGTGCATACTCAAGAGTTTTTGAACACCATCAATGGATCAGGGATCCCGAACCATAAATTGGGACTAAAGGTTGGTGTGCCTATTATGTTATTGAGAAACATTGATCAGTCCTCTGGCTTATGTAATGGAATACGCCTGATCATTACTCGGCTGGGTAAATTTGTTTTAGAGGCGAAGGTTATATCTGGCAAAAGTATTGGCCAAAAGGTTTTGATTCCGCGACTATCACTGATCCCGTCGGATAGCAGAATTCCTTTCAAATTTCAACGCAGGCAATTCCCAATTGTCGTTTCATTTGCCATGACGATAAACAAAAGTCAAGGACAATCTCTGCATCAAGTGGGCATATATCTCCCATGACCTGTGTTTACGCATGGTCAATTATATGTTGACATGTCAAGGGTTACCTCAAAGAGTGGGTTGAAGATTCTCATATTAGATGACGAAGGCCGTGCTATCCACACCACCAAAAATGTAGTCTATAAAGAAGTTTTCCGAAATTTGTGAAACTTTTTTTTACATTGTCAACATATATGATTGTTTTATTTTATATAATCTCACGATTCAAGCCAAAAATGGTAGTATCAACTTATTCTTTATCACACATAGCTAATTATTTTTTCACGTAGAGCTTGGTTACACATTATTTTTTATTTTATTTTATTATTGTAATTTTCATACGATTCATATTTTCCCGCAACTATACAACGTATATAATCAAACTCACATTATATAAACGTTAAACTATATTCTTATTTAGAAAATTATACATTATGTACCATCTTAAAACATTAATTTATTAAATTGTGTATTATTCAATTCTAGATATATCCCGTGCATCGCAAGGGTACTTCGTCTAGTTTTAAATATAAACGAGCAAGTTCAATTAGTTATAGGAAAAATTGATAAGAATAATCCCCCTTTGGCCGATCATTTCATAATAATTTCACCTTTACGTAATTTCAGAATAATCTCACTTTTGCACAACATCTTCTTTCGTTGGACCATGGCCGATTGGTGACCTATTATATGGGGGTTTTTGTATTTTTTGGAAAACTTACATAAATAATCCCACATTTCACAAATATGCTCAAAACAGTCTCATATTTCATTTTTTTCTCCCTAAAATTTTTCTCCTTATTTTATCCATGAAAACTTTTTTATTCCCTTTTTCATCCTTTAATTCTTATTTCTTTTCCATATTTATTATTCTATTTCTCACTCTATTAGGAGAGTTTTTTTGAAAATTTCGAATACATTTTTTTGTTATTTTATTTTTCTTCCCGTATTTTTTATTTCATTTTCCTTTTTATGTTTCTCTTCTTAATCATTCTCTTTTTATTAAAATCTTTTCCCCACTCTTCTTTTTGTTATATTTTCTTTTTTATTTTCATTTCCCCCCTTTTTCTTCTTGTTACTTTTGTAAATGTTTTTTCTTCCTTCTTCTTTTCTTTCTTCTTGTTATCTTAATTCCACTATCAATAATTTTTTCTCCTTTCTTCATTATCGTATTTTTTAAGTAAATTAACCCATTAATTCAATCAATTGTGGAAAAAACTCTATGTGATAAAAAGATTAGAGAAAACTAAAATTTCAAGAAAAATAAAACATTCATAAAATGTAAGGTAAAATAACAATTTCGGGAAAATGTAATTTTTTCTTTCTAATGTTTTCCTTAAATTTTTTTTTTATTTCAATTTTTTTTTCAATTTTTTTTATCACATAGAGTTTTTTCCATAGTTGCTAAAATTAATGAGTGGACTTACTTAGGGAAAAAATATTGATGGTGGAATTAAGATAGCAAGAAGAAAGAAGAAAATACATAAAAAATACTACATCTGTTCTTTTTTAATTGCAACATTGAACTTTTTGCACTATTCACATATTATACTTTGACTATATTTTATTAAATAATGTATTATAATTTTTTTTTAAATATTGTTAAATTCATTTCATTCTAAAATTTCAAAATATGAAATTTTTAAATTTTTTACTAATAGGGAATGAAAGATATTAATGGTCAAACTTGTGCATTGACAAACGTGAAATGTTGTCTTTTGCTATTAAAAAGGAGCGAAGGAAGTATATAACAAGAAGAAAAAAAGGGAAAAGTGAAATAAAAATAAAACATAACAAAAAGTAGACTGAGAAAAATATCTTTAATAAAAAGAGAAAGATTAAGAAGAGAAATGAAATACAAATACAGAAAGAAAAAGAAAATGACAAAAAAATCTATTTGGGAAGGAAATTTTACAAAAAACCACTCTCAATAGAGTGAGAAATAAAATTATAAATATGGAAAAAACAAGAACAAAGCACTGGAAAAAGAAATAAAAAGTGTATATGGATAAAAATAAAGAAATAAAACTTTTAGGAAAATAAAAATAAAAAATGAAACATGAGTCTGTTTCGTATAATTTCCTTCCCAAATTGATAATTTTATTTCACTCTATTAGTAGTGCGTTTTTTTTGTAAAATTTCCTTCTCAAGTGGGAAATTGAATAAAAAAGTGTATATGAATAAAATAATGAAAGAAAAAAATAGGGAGAAAAAAATAAAAAAATGAAATATGAGACTATTTTGAGCAGATTTGAGAAAGGTAGGACTATTTATGTAAGTTTTCCAATAAAATTCAAAAATCCTGATATAGTAGGTCACCAACCAGTAAGGTCCAACGAAAGGAAATGAGGTGCAAAGGTGGAGTTATTTTGGGAATATGTAAATGTGAGATTATTATGAGCAGATCAACCAAATGTGAGATTAAATTGTTGTCAAATTTTCCTTAGTTACTATTTATGAAAATGTAGTCGGTATGAGTATATTAGACGGTATATATGTGATGGAGTAATGGGACTAGGCCTAGAGCCTAATCAGCTCAAGTCCCGAACTTGGACCCATGGATCCAAGTCCATAACCTGGAGCCTGCCTGCCAGCCTGGCGGGGAGCCTGCCAGTCCGGCCGACCTCCTAGCCCGGAAGAGTAACGGTCGAACAATTAATGCGCTATTAATTATGTATTTAATTCCGTATTAATGTTGTAATTAATTAGTCATTATTATCGGTAACGGTTACGATTTGTATACGCCTAAGCGGATTGTAATTCAGATTAGGGGAAGCAACTTCTATACGCTATTTCTGGCAACTAAACACTTTTAGCTTCTTTCCTTATTTGCATTATTTTCCTGATTTCCTGCTTGAGTGTCGTACGTAGCTTTCCTAAAAATCTACGAGCGTCCTATTTTGGACCAACATTGTTGCTTTCATTGAGAGCCTCTATTAATCTCTCACATCACTTTAGTAGGAAAAAAATCAAGAAATTCATCCCAATCCAAGGTGCTACAGTCCCACTTCCTCCTGTTCTCTTCGCTAATCACAGTTGGATGCCGTGCGCCGACGTCGCTGCTGGTCTCCCTCATCGCCATGCCTATTCATGAGATAGGCCTTCAAATGGGCGCCCACCTAATTCCTATGGAGCAAGAGTCTGCTCTGCGTTAAAGTGGATGGACCAAGATTACACTAAGACCAAATTTGATTCTCCTCAAGGATGATGGGCTGAATTTTCAGCAATGCATTCGGGCCCGTTTGGCTCTAAAGCTAAGTTTCCAAAAATCCTCTATATTTGATACAAAAAAAAACAAAAATTCAAACATTTGAAAAGATATTTTAAGTGGTTTAATTGCTTTTACTCTTGTTAAGCGTGTGTAATTTTAACATTGAAAAACAAGCTTATGAAATCCGATCACTCACATACACCGAGCGAGCACACACACTCGTACACTGGCCGAGCACACACACTCGTGCCACAGGGTCACGTCATATGGGTGTGGCGATTAATAAGCTCCAATAAAAATGTTAATACCGCACACTCTTGACTTCATACGAGTTCTTGCGTGCTCTTACCCTTTCCAAGTGCATCACACTCCGACCTCGGAGGACGAGTCACCCGTTCAAAAGTTTTTACTTGAGGGTTCGAACTACTAACCTCGGGCGGCGAGTTAAACTCTTATTAGGGGCCTAGAGCCACGCTCTTCTGAGCAATTTTGTCACTTAATTGACATTCACATTTCTCGAAAAGGTTGATATACTTTAGTTCTTTGGGGTTGGATTATCCATTCGAGTGAGGAGTCCGACTCACTTACTCGCGGATTCAATCTTTCTTTCGGAGACTGGGTTGAGGCCTAACTTGGGAACTTGATGTCATTCTTTTCAAATAGTGAGTCCGACTCACTTACACACCGAGCCGTGGTTCGACACCAGGCCAGATGCTCTATTCTACACTAGTTTCTTTGATGTGTAGGTTTAACTGAATGAAGTGGGGGACTGAGGGTCATACCGTCTTCAAGGAAGCAAATGACAAACCCGACGAGTCTGAGTCCGACGAGAAGAACAGTTCTAGTCATCATATTCGCAGATGGCGATCATTGCAATAAAGGCTGAGGATCTCACCTCTTGCTTCATCTTGGGGGCATAAGATGTATTCTTTTTCCCTTCATTAGGATTTTTTCCCATTGGGTTTTTTCCTAATGAAGGTTTTTAATGAGGCATCTCCCCAACATGGATAAGGGCGGGGATTTTCTAGTCTCGGAGAAGCGCAACTGACTTGGACTACTCCCTCTTAGCCGAGTCTACTACTCGACTAAGAGAGTGAGAGACTCATGATGGAGTAATGGGACTAGGCCCAGAGCCTAATCAGCCCAAGCCCCGAACTTGGACTCATGGATCCAAGTCCATAACCTGGAGCCTACCTTCCAGCCCGGCGGAGAGCCTGCCAGTCCGGCCGACCTTCTAGCCCGGAAGAGTAACGGTCGAACAATTAATGCGCTATTAATTATGTATTTAATTCCGTATTAATGTTGTAATTAATTATTCACTATTATCGATAACGGTTACGATTTGTATACGCCTATAAAAGGCGGGTTGTAATTCAGATTAGGGGAAACAACTTCTGTACGCTATTTCTGGCAACTAAACACTTTTAGCTTCTTTCCTTATTTGCATTATTTTCCTGATTTCCTGCTTGAGTGTCGTACGTAGCTTTCCTAAAAGCCTACGAGCGTCTTATTTTGGACCAACAATATGCATTTTGCAAACAATTTCATTTAAAGATTTACATTTGTATTACTATATTTAAAAACCCTAATTATTTTGGTACAAGCAATCTTCCAAATTAAGTTTGAAGTGTTTAAAGATATAGTTAAGTTTTTCTTTACTGCATCAAGTTAGAATTCAAAAGCCAAAGGATTTTCATACTACTGTAGGGAAAAGAAAACTTCTTCAAAAACAGGAAATTGTGAAAACTGGGCGAATTTAACCATTTAAAAAGTTACAGAACGTATAGATGATATTTATTTAATCATTCTTTGGGGCAAAAGAGAAAAACATTTACTACCTCCATCACAAAAAAAATTGTCATTTTCAAAAGAATTTAATGATGATTTTGAATAGTATAATATTATGAAAGTTATAAATTTTATACTTTTATGAAAGTAGTTTCAACGGGTCATTTATATATATTTTTTATATTATAAATATTTTTATATTTTTCAATAATTTTATATTTGATTTTTTTTTGAAAGGAGGTAGTACTTTTCTTGATCCCCAAGACTAAGGAGTCCATAGAGTGCTGAATTGGGAAAATTGAAACATCTGATACTTCTTACTTCTTAGAATCACACAACAAATTAATTACAGAAAAGTTGAAGAATGAGTCGAGGAAGCGGAGGGGGATACGATCGGCACATCACGATCTTCTCTCCCGAAGGTCGTCTCTTCCAAGTCGGTAAGCTAATCGCAATTTACCCTTCTCTCAATTTTCTTCAAAAACAACCAACATTTCCCCGATGTTTTGTTGTTTGGTGAACAGAGTACGCGTTCAAAGCCGTTAAGGCTGTCGGAATCACATCCATTGGTGTGCGTGGAAGAGACTCCGTTTGTGTTGTTACTCAGAAGAAAGTTCCAGTAAAGTTCACATCTTACGAGCTCTGTATTTATTAAATATTCACTTCAAACTGATTTGAAGTTAATTAGGTTGCTTTGTTCTTTGCTCTCTGTGTTTTGATTTTTTTTTTTGCAATATATTCTTATATAATAATTGTTGGAAAAGCTTATCCATAGTTGCTTTGTATTCATCAAGCTGTGAAATGAGCTGATTTTCTTATGTAAGCTGATATAAATGTATCATAAACTAGAACTTGATGTAAGATTTGAGCACTAGCAACTAAATTATAATTTGGAGAACAAACTTTACTATCTAAGTATTGCAACTTCTTCCCTTTAAAGTTGTATTTTGGGGGTTAATTGTTTTTGTTATTGTGAACAGGATAAGCTATTGGACCAGACAAGTGTGACCCATTTGTTTAAAATCACAAAGCATTTAGGACTTTTGGCTACTGGAGTGACTGGTCGGTACTCTTTTTTACTCCCAAGCATACAGGGTTTATGGAATTTGTTAATGATTATTTGGCAGATTGAATAATAAGATCAATTAGTCCTATGGTTTTTTTTGCGTTATTGGTTACTTGATGTAAGATTTGAACAAGCTTATTATTTGCATAAGTTCTGCTATTAATAATTTTACTGATGTTTTACTTTGTTTGGGTAAGCAATAAGCATATCAATAGAGCCTATGACTTTCAAAAATCTTAGATCTGCTTCTCTAAGTGTATTGCTTAAATTTAGTTGGAGTAGACTATTAAGCTGAAAACAGATTTTAATTAGCCCAAAACAGTGCAAAGTCTCATAACTTGTTCCCTGTGGTCTTCGAAACACATTCTATTTAAACAAATTATTATAGCTCTCTTAAATCATTTCCCCGAAACAAGTAAATATGATAATCCTTTTAAATCTTATTCAATGCTAGCTTATCTATTAAAAACAAATTTTCTATTTCTGGTAGTAGTAGTTCTTTTTTGTCAGCATTGTTATGCTGCATTGCAAAGAGAAAGAGTTACAAAACACTGTGCCCCTCTGCTTATTTTGTCAGAAAGTTATTTGTGTTTGAAGCATATAAATTATTTCTGCATATGATTAGAGCTTGGATTCCAACCTAAAAGATAAACTCTTAATGCATATCGGTGTTCTTACGTTGAGTGTAATCCGATGCTAATATTTCAATTTCTGAACATTATGTACTGAAGATCAAGGTCTTTGCTCAATATTTGACCCTTCATTTTGACAGCTGATGCCAGGACATTAGTCCAACAGGCAAGGAATGAAGCTGCCGAATTCCGTTTCAAATATGGATACGAAATGCCAGTAGAAGTGCTTGCCAGATGGTTTGTTAATCTTACCACTATTATGTTTTATTTATCATGTATTTATGTTGTGTTCTGTAGTGCATGGGCTAGTGCAATATTTCAATTACATCCTCCCTTCTTTAACACTTTAGACTTTTTTTCTCAACCCGGTCTTGCTTCTCTGTTGGTATTTACATATCTTTAGTGCATTAATGAGGTTCTCTTATAATCATATTATAGCATTTCTCTTGAATTTAAAAAATTAGTGTTTCCTGAATATGTATTTAAATGTCTTAAAGCGATACTTTAGTACAAAGGGAGTGGTTCATTGCACATAATGACTGTAGGGCCTCTAGATGCAAATTCTTGGTGCCCTAGTTGGTATTTGTTTTCAGATATTCAGCTTCTATGGTAACTGATTAGAGTTGAGGCACATATAAGTTTTTGATTATGTAAATGATATATTTCTGTATACACAAACAGGATTGCAGACAAATCCCAGGTTTATACTCAGCATGCCTACATGAGACCGCTTGGAATAGGTTCGTCACTACCCACACACACTCCTCGAATCTCTTATTAACTTGTTCTGGGGTTTCCAGAGCTTTGTTATTATTGTTTTTGTTTTTGTTATTAATATTATTACTATTATCCGGCAATTGTTAACCGTAACCCTTAGGGCTGGTTATGTTTAAGATGTAATGATGATAGATTATCCTATGTAATTTTCAAGGAACATTCAGTTTTTATTTTTTAATGGGATCCTTTGATGAATTATTTATTCTTTCAAAACATGAAATGCATTCTTCTTTAATTAATGCTTAACCATAGCTCTAGAGTCAGTAGTTAGGAAGACCCTTATTTTTATTGTTATAATAATTATTATTATGTTATTATTGTTCTTATTGTTATCTTTTGCAATGTTAGTTGCGATGGTTGTGGGTATTGATGACGAAAAGGGACCTCAGCTCTTCAAGTGTGATCCAGCGGGTCATTTTTTCGGTCACAAGGTAAAGTTTGCAGACATAGAAAAGTACTGAAAGTTTTTGTTTCTCAATTAATACTTAGCTAGCATTCAAAGCATCTAAGTTTGTTTTCTAGAGATGAACTGAACAAGTTTACCCAGAGAGCTTTTATAGTAGCAGTTCTCCACACCTTTTTCTTCTCTCAGAAAAAAACAGTATTTCCACTAAACTAATAAAAATTTAATTGGAAGGCAACAAGTGCTGGATCAAAAGAACAAGAGGCAGTTAATTTTCTGGAGAAGAAGATGAAAAATGATCCCGCTTTCTCCTATGAAGAAACTGTTCAGGTAATTTGAAACAAAGAAGCAGAACTACTTTATTCTGACATACTCTATTATTCTGACCCAAGGACTGCTAACTAATTTTGTCCTTTATTGTAGATTGCAATTTCTGCTCTTCAGTCAGTTTTACAGGAGGATTTCAAGGCCAGTGAGATTGAGGTATCAGTCATATCTTATGTGTTTCTCTAGTTGCTGCTGTGTGTTATATATAGAGATGCTGACTGTTTTGCATAATGTTAGGTTGGAGTTGTGAGGAAAGATCAAACTTTTTTAGTGTTATCAACAGAGGAGATTGATGAGCACTTGACGGCTATCAGTGAGCGTGACTAAATTAAATTATTACCCCACTCCTTCGTTTTCAACAAATATTGAAAGTTGTGTCTTCAGACTGATTTTGCTTGCTGTTTATGAAAAAGTTTGGTTTCGGAATTCCTGTGACATTCCAACATCATTATTACTTGACTGCTGATATGGTTGTTTACTTGAGAACTTAGTAAGTTCTCTGTTGATCCAAGTTTAGGGCCTTAGGGGCGACAAACTAACAACTACTGTATATTAGCATAACAAACGCCCTCTATTGGTGTAAGGAAACATTCTAATCATTGCTGTGTGTTCAAATAGTGATAACAATAATAACGAAAAGAAAAAAATTACTCCCTCCGTCCCATTTAAACGTTCCAACGCGGTTTACGACGTTTAACTGACCATAAAGTTAATTGATCTTTGTCATTAATAGAATTATTTTTAGTAAACAAAATTTACATATTTAGAAACAACATTAAAACCGCTACAAAAATCAAGAAATTTTAAATTTGATAAAAGTTGGATATATAAAGTAAAAGATTAAGTAGAATGAACATTGACCGGAAGAGCGTGGCTCTAGGCCCCTCATAAGAGTTTAACTCGCCGCCCGAGGTTAGTAGTTTGAACCCTCAAGTAAAAACTTTTGAACGGGTGACTCGTCCCCCGAGGTCGGAGTGTGATGCATTTGGAAAGGGTAAGAGCACGCAAGAACTCGTATGAAGTCAAGATTAAATTTGTGGACTGGTTCTCAGATCGAGTAGTGACAGACGGTTCCAGTTCCAATGACTACATTATAATATTTTTTTTTTAGCTTATGACCGTTGGCAGATAATGGGGGGTTTTGGGGAGCCTTTCCAAAAATGACTCTGACTCTGGAAGGAGGTGCGGTGAAGGGTTTGATAGGACTAAAACATTGAATGTGTGCATAAATAAGAGTTCAATGTTGAATAGGAGTAAAAGTGTAATGACTTAATTAGAATACTCTTAATGAAGTTCAATATTTATTTACGATTAAAAAATAGAAAAATCACTTAAAATCACTATTCCTGCATCTGTTCTTATATGCAGCCGCTGCCCAATGAGTTTGTGGCTGTTGTCCGGTGAGCCCCCATTGCCATCGGGCAAGTCTGCCACCGCTGCCCGGTGAGTCCGCTGCTACTATTGCAGGTCTCCGGCGAGTTTGCTACCACCCTCTAGCAAAGCTGCCATCGCCGTGCTCCGATGAGGTCGTTGCTGCCGGCCTTAGCTGATGCTTCATTCGGTGCCACCGCATCATCGGTCATCCACTGCTGCCACCTCCTTCTGCAACAATTTTGTTCTAGATATATAAATGAATTAATGATTAGTGCCATGTTAAAATAATAATGGCATTATCATGTAAAGTTATGACATTCACAATAAGAAAATATAGCATTCGCAAATATGTCATTACAAGTGATATTGCCGTCTTTATAAAACTAGTGTCAAAAACATGACACTATATTTACAGCATTCCAAAAGAGCAAGTAACATTGCAGGTGAAAAATTCATTTTGAAAATCAAGAAGAAATATCAATGTATTTTTTTAAAAGTAAATTAAATGTATTGAAATTAATTAAAAAGTTAGATTTAAAATTTCCCAATCATGGATTGTTTAAGCCTCACATTTTAAGGTACAAGTTTTGAGATCTAAAAAGTAATCTTCCGATTAGAAAGTAAATATTTAATTTTTTTATCAGTTGACATTTGATTACACTTACTTGTGACTAGGGATGGACTAAATCGGACCGGCCCGACCCGGAAACGGCCCGGCCCATTACTGTTTGGGCCCGGACCGGACCGGGACCGGTTGGCCGGTTCCGGGCTTTTAGCCCGGTTGGGCGGGTCGGGCGGGGCGGGCTCGGGCCCAACTTTTGGTGAATCGGCCCGGTTCAATGTTTTTTTGTTTTTGTTTTTTCAATTTTTTTGCTTTTCTAGGTTAGGGTTGGGTGTTTTGGGGGGGTTTGGGGGGTGGGGGGGGGGTCGGGTGTTAATTAGAAACCAAAAAAAAATTTGATCTTGACCCGGGCCCGGCCCGGCCCGGTTAGGCCCGGACCCGGTATCAACCCGGGCCGGTTCCGGGCCCAACATTTTGCAAAAAAAGCCTGCCCGGGCCCGGCCCGGGTCCATCCCTACTTGTGACAATTGTAATCTTCTCACCACCACAGCTGTCGAAATTGGAATTGGGAGAAGAAGTGTCCTCGAATCTGGAACTCAGAGAAGAGGTGCTGCTAGACATTAGTTAATGCTTAGACATTAATTATTACTAGTAATGATCAATGAACCGATGGTTAATCGTTGATGGCTTCATAAGTAAGTAACTTCGGTTTATTAATGCACGGTCGTGGTTAATAAACTTAAGAGAGATTAATTTTATTGGTTAGACCGAAACTGTTGTGTTGAGGTTATCAATCTCAATTGATTTCATCAAGGAGCTAAAAAGATTAAATGCTACTATTAAATCGGTATACGACGTTGTTCTATATTTGATTAATAGTAAGATTTGTTAATGAACGGTCTTTATTACTAACTACTTTGATGAATTGGAGATACTCCTCGATTGAGTATGTCACGCTCCAGACCACATCTAAGCACGCGTACAACCGCCGTGTGATTAAGTGACGTCACTCGCAAGTCAACCTCTCTTAATCACACAAGGCGTTCATGAACATCATTCACACCATACTCAGTAAGTAAACATACATAACAACATCACATCATAAATTGAATGAATAGCGGAAAATATTCAACGGTCAATCACAAACCACATATGGCAAAACGTAGGCTCGCAGGCCTAAAACAAAGTAATATTACAAAAATATCCATGAGCATAGTTTATGATTTAAAACAGTAAAGGAAGCATGAACCACGTCTTCCTCTAGATTCTTTTCACCCGTGCAAAGGTGTGGACAACAGGCTCTAGCTTCAACCTGAAATGGTGGGCCCCCCCGAAGGGGTCAGTACAAGTACCGAGCGAGTAGCAAGCTAAATGTAGAGTAACTAACGTTTCAAGTATAAGACCCAAACATAGGGTGATACATATACTTATACATCTTTACCCCAAGTTACAAAATACGTATCGGTACTTTATATACACTTGGAAATACCCGACTCGTAGGTCATTGTTTATTTCGGAAAAATATCAGTAGTCAATGTCCTTGACTTAAAACCCCAACCCATCCATAGACCTATGAGTGTGTAGGACTCCTCCTATCCAAATCAAATAATCATAAGGACACCGCCCAGTCTTGAATTACTAAACAGTAATCAATGAGTTTTGAGGATACACGCCCGATCTTTGGGTACTCCACCATATATAACCGAGTTTTGAGGATACACGCCCGATCCCTGGGAACTCCACCCTATATAACCGAGTTTTGATGATACCTCCCGATCTTTGGGTACTCCACCCGACATAACCGAATTTTGAGGATACCTCCCGATCCGTGGGTACTCCACCCGACATAACCGAGTTTTGAGGATTCCGCCCGATCCTTGGGTACTCCACCCGACCTATGATCTACCACATATCATACTAGATAGGGTCTATATCATAACCAATAAACAAGACTAAACCAAGTCTTAAGGCCTAAGCAAAATCATCCATGCAATTCATGCATTAAAAATCACATATAGACAATATAAGGCCAAACCGGCGTCGGTTCAAATCTGACCGGCGCCGGTTCTATGCATGACCGGCGCCAGTTGCCCCTGGACAACCGGTCAACTCTCAGTTGACCCACTATTTCAAATCCAATATGTGTCAAACTTAATCACAACATGTATTAAGTTATAAACAACCATATTATGCACCATTTATCTCTAAACATATCACATATGTTTTCATAAACGTTTTCATATCACAAATCATGCATATTTCAATGGTTCATTTCATACAAGCCTAATCACTTTGGCTAATCACATGTTTAATCTTATTTAAACATTATTATGAACACATATAACATTTACTTAGGTAATCTCATGCTTAACCCAAAAGTTACAAGACATTAAGCCATCCACTCACCTTAAATGAGCTTTAAGAAGTTTCTACTCTTCTTAGTTGAACTCCGGCGAGATTCCGGCGAGGCTCCGGCGAAACTCCGGTGAAACTCCGGCGAACTACGGAGAACTCTAGGAACACTTTAGTCAAGCTCCTAACATGGTTTTATTATCATCACAAAACCCATATTAACTCAAATAACCTCTAAAAGGTTATTTACCGGCGAACCGGTCATTTTGGCTTCTAGATCCGTTCTTGGACTTAGAACTACCTTTCAACCCCTCATTCTACACTTCTAAACATGTAGAAAAATTTTAGGGGTCCTCCATATGATATATATTTCATATGATAGTTAAGAAAGTAGGAGAAAAGTTATTATAAGATTATTATCTTAATCCTTCACACTTTCCCTAACTTTTTCCCTTTTTAATCATCCTCTTTGGTCCTTCTTCCTTGGGCTCGAGTTCAGCTATGGAGGATGAGTATTTTGGGAGTTTCTCCTCTCAAAATGATAGGATTGGGCGAGCTAGATGATTGAGGGTGAGAGAGTGGCTTATTATGTCTCAAATGACAAAATGTGTGATGGGAGGGGGTCCTCCATGTACCTTTGATGCCAAATGATCCTCCTCCACATCTTCCTTTGTCAAACTAGCCCCCTCACATTAATTTGAGCACAAAAAACGTGGGGTGGCCCCACTCACGTGGGAGGTCATCCCATTATGTCCCAATGTGTACAATCGGCCTCGAAAGTTGTATTTCTCGGACTGTTTTAATTATATTTTATTGTATCGGATCAAATAAAATATAACACATGTTCCTACTCATTGTAGGACTTTATAATGGATGTACATTCCCCAACTTTAATTTAGAAGTCTCCGAAATTTGTTTCGGGCTGTTATCCGATAAATTACCAATACCGGTAATTGGACCTCGTTTGACCGACGGGTCAACCATATGACCTTTCTATAGACCAACTAAAATATCTACCACCATATATATATTATCTAGACCAAGATGAATATAATATGTGGTCCCGGAATTATTGGATGGTCCCCGTTCCCGTGTGGCCCCCACGTGCAATTTACTATTCACGTAAAAGAAATAAAAAAAAATTACAACCTCGTAAACTCATAATTCATTCCTCAGGGTTTATTACATGATTTACTAAAAAGTAAATATACTTGGGGACGGTGTTACAAAGTATTTGAGAGCGGCTAAGTTAAAGATATAATCGGCATCGACCAAGCATATCAACAAGTGGAAAGTAGCAA